AATAGATATTTTTAGTTGCCAATGGACCTTTATTTATTTATTATACGTGGCGCTGAGAATCGAACTCAGTGCCTCACACTGGCTAGGCAAGCACTCTACCAATGAGCTATAACCCCAGCCCCAATTTCATTCTTCTTTATGCCCAGCCCTCTTATTTTATATAAATTTTTGACTGGATCTTGCTAAGTTGCTGAGACTGGCTTTGAACTTGAGGTCTTTCTGCCTCAGCCTCCCGAATTGCTGGGATTTTAGGCATGCACCATTATGCCTGAATTTTATTTATTATTATTATTTTAAAAATATTTTTTAGTTGTTGATGTACCTTTATTTTTTATTTATTTATATGTGGTGCTGAGGATCAAACTTAYTGCCTCACACATGCCAGGCAAGTGCTCTTCCACTGAGCCACAACCCCAGCCCCTTTATTTATTATTATTTTTTTAAATGTTTATTTATGTATCTTTAGTTTTAGGTAGACACATTATTTTGTTTTTTTATGTGGTGCTGAGGATCAAACCCAGTGCCTCAGGCATGCTAGGCGAGCACTCTACCTATGAGCACAACCCCAGCCTTTTCTTATTATTTGATATAGGGTCTCACTAAGTTCCCTGGGATGGTCTTGGGCTTGTGATCCTCCTGCCTCAGCCTCCTGAATAGCTAGGATTACCAGCATGCACCACTGTGCCTGGCTCCTGGCAACCCTCTTTATAAAGGCTTGTTTGGGTCTTGTTTCACATACCTCAGAATCTGGAGTTGAGAGTATTGCTCTCTGAGACTGCTGCAGCTAGACCATTATTCTCCCTTCATTCTTCAAAATCTCCTGCTCCTTCCAGGTTCTATCTTGAACTCTGTCACCTGTTATCTCTACGTTGATAGTGTCTTTAAGTTTGGGCATTCACCCACATGCACTGCTAATTTTAGCACCTGGCTCATTATCTTCCTTTTTACACCTATTTTCCTATCATCATTGTTGTTGACTTCAAAATCCCTGAGAGTTGGTGGGCAAATGGCATCCACCTGCAGTCCCGGCTACTTGGGAGGCTGAGGCAAGGAGATTTGCTGGAGCCCAGAAGTTTGAGGCCAGCCTGCACAACTAGTGAGACCTGTTTCAAAAACCAAACCAAATCAAACCAAACCAAACCCCTCTGGGTAATCCATCTAACTGTAGCTTCTCAACCTCTCAGTCTTATCTCTAATGATCTTTCTCTTCAGCCCTTCCTTAGGCCCCTAAGGCCCCTAAATTATTTTGTTATTTTCCCCAACAACCTCTCATGACTACCTCCTAGTTTTCTGGTTTATTTACTAATGTTTTTCCTACTCCTTTCACCTCATGGAGACTTTTAAAACATTGACCCTACAGTTTTCACTATCCACCAACCCATTTTTGTGTTTATTCCTCTTTTTACCCTATTCATATCATGATCTAATATATAATCACTCTCTTCTCTCTCTCTCTCTCTCTCTCTCTCTCTCTCTCTCTCTCAAAAAACCCAACCATGGTATATTCTGCCGATCCAATTCATGTGGGTCCTTGAATCCAGCTATTTATTTCAAGGCTACTAGAGAAAAAGGAAAAAAAAAAAGRAAAAAGAAACAAAACTGATGCTCAGTGGTGTCATAAATTGATGGTTCTTAACTGGGAGAAATCAAATTTTGCTCCTCTTTTCCCTAGGACATTTGGCAATGTCTGGAGACATTTTCAATTGTGGCACTAGGGTGTGAGGGAATGTTCTACAACATCTAATTGAAAGATGTCAGGAATGCTGCTAACTATCCTAAAATATGCAGGACAACAAAGAATTATCTAACTCCAAATGTCAATAATGCCAACGTTAAGAAATCCTGCTTTAAATTAGTGACGACAAGTCTCAAAGGGACAATTGACAGAGAGCCTCTGCACTTGCTCTTTTTACTGCTTATAACATGATTCCCTCCTGGTTGGCTCATGATTTAAGAGTAATTTATTCAGAAAGTTTTTCTTTTTCTTTTTAAAAATTTTTTAATATTTATTTTTTAGTTTTTGGTGGACACAACATCTTTGTTTATATGTGGTGCTGAGGATCCAATCGTGGACCGAATGCATGACAGGCAAGCGCGCTACTGCTGGAGCCACATCCCCAGCCCCAGAAAGTTTTTCTGACCTCCCTTGAGACTGGACCAAGCCTCATGACGTTACCCTGTTTCATTGCCTTCAAAACATTTACCATTTTATGTCTTTATTACTTGCTTCCTTCTAGAGAATGAGTTACATGAATATAGTGTCCTTATCTCTTTTGTTCATTGCTGTATCCCTATGGTCAAATATAGTGCCTGACACACATGACAGACATTCAGAAAGTAGTTATTGAACAGTGGGTGAAATATTATTTATTTGAAATTTATTCATTCATTCATCAAATATTCATTGGTGATAAAATACAGAGACATCTGTAACCTCATGAAATTTACCATACAATAGGGAGACCCATATTGAATCAATAAGCACACAAAATAGTTTCAGACTATGATAAGGGCTTTGAAAAAAAAGTGCAGGTAGCCATGAGAACATTGAGCAGTCTGGGGTGGGGCAATCAGGCCAGTCTTCCTAGAAGTGATATTTGAGCTGATAGCTGAAGAATGAATCAGTTAGCTGGGTAGAGGAAAGAGGGTGGGGGTAGATGGAGAAGAGTATTCAGGCATAGAGAACAGAGTGTTCAAAGGTGCTTTACTGAGCCAGAATTTATATARTACATTTCACCAACAGAGAGAAGTCCAGTGTTGGCTGAGGCACAGAGCCAGGTAAGCCATGGTATGGCATTTACTTCTATGAGCACAGGAGTGCCAGTAAAATATTTTTAAATGAAAACAACACATCTAATTTCGTAAACAAAGATCACTCTGGGGAACAGATTTTAGAAGGACAAGAGTGAAGATGGGGAGATTGGGTGTGAGGTAGTTACAGTGTCCAGGTTACCCTATAGTGGTGGCAGTGAGCTTGGAGAGGTGTTAGATACACTCAAGCAAAGGGGAACATGGACTTTTAGAGCTGGAAGGAACCTGTTAAAAAGAATCTCACCACGAATCAAAAAATACAATAAATATGAATGACAAAGAGTTCATGAAGTTCTGCATTTTATACAAAAGCAGGTTAGTGAACTTAACAAGAGTGTTCTTTAATATGTTCATTGAATGAATCAAGGAAAGATTTACAGACAAATGTTTGAGAAGAATGTAGATGGAAGATATGAGGAAACAGATGAAAAAATGAAGAGAGGAAAATGTAATGAGAGAGCCAGATTAAGAAAGGTGTAAGGAGGTTGGAAGGAGGTAGACTGGGAGACAACAGCAAGAAAAAGGGGTGGAGAGGCAGTAATGTGCACAAAGGAGATGAAAAGGGCTGGGCTCCAAAGGATTGGAGATTGGGTACAATGGTAAACTAACTGGGAAGGAGTGAAACAGGAAACTACAAAATGGAAAAGGCAAGAAGGGGGAGATGATCAAAGAGAGGAATGAGCAGATGATTGGAAGAGATGTTGGGAGGAAGGATGGGGCAGAAGCTTGGAGAGAGTGAGAAAGAATGTGAGGGTGAGGTGGAAGAATGAGGGTGGAATCAAAGGCCACTTTGGAGAGCCAGATGTTGGGGAGGACAGAATGGTGAAGGGATGGGAGAGTGCCACAAACAGTTCCGCCCAGGATAAGAACAAGGGAGAGAAATGTGCTAGCCGTGGGAGGGGGTGAGGAAAGTGAAGGGTAAATTTGAAAAGACTCCAAGGGAAGGGAATGATGGGTGTAGCCGAGATTCTGACCTAGGCTTACCCTTCTCCCCACCCTCTGCAGGTTCACCTTAGTGGTTTCTGCCTTTTGCCAGGAGTCTTGATGTTAGAGGGGATACTGACAGGCTCAGGCATTAAGTATGTCAAGGATTGGAACAGAGGACCAGGAAGTGGGGTTACTGGAGAGCGGTGCCCAGAAGCTCGCTGACTGTAGGAGGGCCTAGCTAGAGGGTGCCGGCAGTAAAGGGGAGGGGTCCTGGGGAGATGTCACTGGGAGTGGAAACTTCAAGAAGTCTGCAGCAATGGGTGATTTTCCCGGATTGGGTCAGGGCCCATTGAAGGTGGAAACAAAAGAAAGAGGAGAAGATCGAAGGGTGGAGTAGAAAGGCGGGCTGGACGAAGAACACTTGAGGCATAAACCTGCAGGGAAAAGGTGGCGCCGAGCCTTTCCAGGGGCGTCTCCCCAGCTCTGGCCCCGCAGCTTCCCAAGCGCACCTGTTGAGAAGAAGGGAAGGAAGGGGCACCTTGGTGCGAGTGGGAAATCCAGTCTGGAGGGGCTGACTGGGAGTTTCAGACTCCTGAGAAGACGTTGCCTCGTCTCCACCTGTGGTTAAAGCCCGGCAAGTGGAGGGGCGTGACCCTTGTGCTCAGGTTTCTTCCTCTTCACCTGGGCAAGGAGGGGTGGGGGCCAGGACTTCCGGTTCAGGTGAGTGTCCCTTCAGTGACGTCAGGTCACCCTCGGCTGCCCCTCCGGTCCCGCCCCCCCTCCCGCGCTCCCGGTCCGCGGGGGCGCGTCCCCGACGCCCTACATATACTCAGGTGCGCCGCGCACCTGTCCGCCCGCACCTGCCCGCTCACTGCCGGGCAACCTTTCCTGCGCAGCGAATCCCTGGACCGATAGGCCTAATACTTTCTGGGAACCGCACCCAAACGGCCCCTCTACCTTTTGTTTGGTAGGGTTCGTTGAGAGCGCCGGAGAGAACCGCCTGACCTTCGGGGACTGTTTTTGTCTGAAACCAGATCTTCGGGCATAGCCTGTTCCCTTTGCTGAGACCGTCACTCCACCCGAGGGGTCGATTTGTGTTTACTTCGGGTGACAAGAAGATTTGAAGTCACCCGGTCAAAAACATTTTTGCTTCTTTGGGTGACTTAAAACACCACCCCAAGTTGTCTTGTTGGGTTGACCCCCGGATTCGGTTTGTCGCGTAGGGTCGCCAGTCCGGCGTCCCGTATTTTTTGAGGGCGGAAATGGCCAATTCAGGCCTGCAGTTGTTGGGCTTTTCCATGGCAATGCTGGGTTGGGTGGGCCTGGTGGCAAGCACCGCCATCCCGCAATGGCAGATGAGTTCCTACGCAGGCGACAACATTATCACGGCCCAGGCCATGTACAAAGGGCTGTGGATGGACTGCGTTACGCAAAGCACCGGCATGATGAGCTGCAAAATGTACGACTCGGTGCTTGCTCTGCCGGGTAAGGCCGCGGGACCGACGGGGCGGACGCGCGCATGGCCGAGATGGTGGGGCGGGGTGTGGGCAGGGCCGAGATCCCCCGGCCAGGCACCTTGATTGCCAGGGACAGGAGGAAGTCGAAGTGGTCTTGCTGGGGCAATGGGGCTGGGCTGGGGCGAGCGGGGTTCTGGTGGACGCACATGGGCTGATACCCCTGCATCCTGCGCTCTTCCTAGAATGCCCCCAGCCAAGCCTCCACCAGGGCTTGGGCAAGTGAGTCCTAAGCCTGGTCGTCATCTCCCCACCGCCCTGGGCCAGCCAAGGCCTCCGTGTTATCCGGCCCTTTTAGTTTGGACAAAAGGGGGTCGGGGCTGAGGCTGTACGGAGGACTGCGCAGCTGGGCAGTTTGTCAGACGTGGGCGGCCACCTGCGGCCTCTAATCTTATCCGACGATTAGCCGAAGCCGCAGGCCCGTGGCCCCGAAGGCGGGACCAGGGCTGGGACGCGCGTCAGGATGTTCAGCTTATGCCCAGGTTCTGGCTGCCCCCTTTTACCCTTCCCCCTACTCGGAGCAGTTTCATCGAAACCCTGGCGCCCCGGGCGGGTTTCTCAGCAGAAAGGGCGGGGCGCGAGCTGGAAGGCTACGTTGTCCCAAGGGTGTGGGAGCCTGCCCGCTGGAGGTAGGGCCTTAGACATCTGAGGGCGTCAGAATCTAGCGACCGCTAGACGCGGGTTCAAGGAATAGTGGGCGCGGCCTGCCCCGCCAAGACTGCCAGCCATTTCCAGCAATGACGGCGTCTTTTCTCCTCTGCAGCGGCCATGCAGGCCACTCGAGCCCTAATGGTGTTATCCTTGGTGCTGGGCTTCCTCGCTATGTTTGTGGCCACGATGGGTATGAAGTGCACACGCTGTGGGGGAGACGATAAAGTAAAAAARGCCCGTATAGCTATGACTGGAGGAATCATTTTCATCGTAGCAGGTGAGTCATAGGTCCAAAGGCAGCTCTCCTCTGGCCCTTGTGGGAGGTGGTTGGAGAAGGTGCTGATTTGAACCCTCACAATATTGGAATTCTTATTCTTTCTCCAGGTCTTGCAGCCTTGGTAGCATGCTCCTGGTATGGTCATCAGATTGTCACAGACTTTTATAACCCCACCGTCCCTGTGAATTTTAAGTAAGTCTGGGATCCCTGTCTAAGAATCAAATCTGGGTTCTTGGGATAGGAAGGCAGAGGCAGGCCAGGTTTCTAATCTCAATCCTTTCTTTCCACAGGTATGAGTTTGGTTCTGCCATCTTTATTGGCTGGGCAGGGTCTGCTCTGGTCCTCCTAGGAGGTGCACTGCTCTCTTGCTCCTGTCCTGGACAGGAGAGCAAAGCTGTGTACCGTGCACCACGCTCCTACCCTAAGTCCAACTCCGCCAAGGAGTATGTGTGAAGTGGGACTCCCATGCCCCAGCCTGACAAACTGTGGGCGTGCCCAAATGACTCAAAGGACCCAGGGCAGAGGATTCAGCATGTGGGCAGAGTGCAGGACAAAGGCCTCCTGGTCACTCCATCCCTATACACCATGTACAGTCCTCTGGGGGGGGGGGGTTGGGTAGGAGACAAAAAGTGGGGAGAGTGTGCTTTTTGTACAGTAATAAAAAATACGTTTTGGAAAGTAGGCTTTCTTTTCTTTCTGTGCCTGATTCTTCCCACTCAGATCCTTGGAGGGAGCTTGGTACCTAAAGTACATTTACTTCAATTCAAACCCTTGTACAGTACCAGTTGTGTGCCAGGCCACTCTTGCTCATTTAATTTTCATCATGACTCAAACCCAATGCTTAGACTGGACTCCAAAGACTCAAGAGCTTGGCTTTCCTCATTCATTCTCACTGCCCACCACTCATTTCCTTTTTATCAACAACAAAAAAAATTAATAAAAGATTTTATTAGGTATGAGGGGTTGTTCCTATTTCCTCACCTTATGCTATCTCTTCATCCCACTTTCTGTTCTGATCGGATACTGCTTCCTACCTCATAGGGTAGAACCTCCATAGACAAAGGAACAAAGGCAGTACAGAAACTGGGACCTCAGTCCTCCCACTCCCACCCATTTCCATTAGTGTAGTCAAGTCTGGCCAGTCAAATATCAAGGTCATCATCTGGGTCTTCTTGGTCTAGGTCATCATAAGCATCTGGCTCATAGAAGATGTGGCTGGTAGCCTGGCCTGGCGCAGGACGCAGTAGAACCTGCTGTCTGAGGGAGAATTGGTGCTAATGAGGTGGTTATTAGATCAAGTCTGGATACCCCCTTAGAGGTGCCTGTGACTCACTTAGGCAACCCAAACTAGGCTTGTGTCATTTTCTTGGTCCAAGTTCCTCCTCTGACCTCTAAGATTATTTAGGGCTAAGAAAGAACCAGTTGACCCTGGCATAAGTACTACTCTTATTTAATAAAACTCTGTTCTTAGCAGCTTGAGGGGAAGGATTCTGCAGCAGTCTTGCTTCATCCACCCACACACTGGGCTCAGACAAGAGGCATCTACCAAGCCCTTGTTAACCAGCCTTTGCCACACCCATGCATCTTCCTGTCCTATGTCCTAGCACTGCTGGCAGGAGAATAAAGTTACCTCTTAGGGTTTGCTCTGGCTCAGCCCAGAGCAAGATTACTCTGGGGACAATTATGAAGGCAGAACCCATCCATAGCTGTAATGGAGATAAAAGACAGGAAGACCCTCCGCCATTATGGGAGATATGGGTGGGTACAGAACCACTCCCCAGGCTTGTATCTGGAAGTGGACTTTAGCTCCTATAAAGTCTGAGAGGTTAATCAATAACCTGTCTTCACCCCACCTCAGATGCTGGGGATCCAAGCACTTAGGCTCCAGCCTTACTTTTCAGAACTGAACTGGAAGGGCAGAATCAGGCTATCCTTGGCTTCTCTTTCTTCCTTGGACAGGTGAAGGTTAAAGGTCAAATGAGTCATGGGGTCCACCTGCAGGTAAAAAGATGCTGCCACTTGGCCTCATTCCTGAATCTTTGACTCCACTCCCAACCTCTGCAGTTTTATTCTACTTTTGCCAGATCCCAAGCTTTTAGGTACCAGAGATGTATGAGGATCTGGGTGGTGCTGGGACCCTAGGGGAGGCCCCTCCTGGAGATCGAGGCTAAAGTCAGGAAGGATGGAAAACCACGAAGTCTAAGGAGAATAAAGAAGAGAGTTAAAAAAGTTTTTTTTTCTTTTCATCCCACTGAACAAACTAGAGAATTCAGGACCTCTCACCTCAGCCCCCAATCACCCGAACACATTGTTTTCAGCCCTAGCCTTCCTTTAAGTGTCTCCCTACAGACTTGTTCCTCCTTCCCACTAATAACTATTCTAGTCTTTTAAAAATCTTTTTCTAGGGCTAGGGATGTAACTTAGTAGTACAGTGCTTGCCTACCAAAGTGCAGGGCCCTGGGTTTGACCTGTCTCTCTAACACACACAACCAACAAAATAAAACAGGAAAGTATTAAAAAAAAATTTTTTTTTAAATTATTCTTCCCACCATGCCAACCCTTTTTCTGACTCTAATTTCTAGTTGTTCTTGTTGCTTCTCCTAACCTGATAAGTTGGGCGCTGTTGGGGCTTCCGAAAGAGGACATGGGCTGAGGCTTGGCCCATTAAACCACCCAGAATCACCTCAGTCTGGGTAAGACTGCTCAGTGCTCCCACAAGGCCTGGGCCATGAAGYTCTTCATGTAGCAGGCCCAATACATGCACCTGCTTTACTGGGGAACTATCACCTGGAGAGAAAAGGAAATGCAGGGCATGAAGGAGAGTAGTGAACATTTAGGGTTGAGGTGAGGTAGTAAATACTGAAGAAAAGGAAGGAGAGGCCCACATTCCATCAGAGTTCTGCCACAGTCGTGACTTACCCTAGCCAATCTCACTGCTTAGCTACGAGCCCCTACACTCTACCGCTCAGTTATACCCCTGGCCCTTTTTTATTTTGAGACAAGGTCTAAGTTGCTCAGGCTGGCCTTAAACTTGAGATCCTCCTGTCTCAGTTTCCCACGCACTGGGATGGCAGGGGAGCCATAGGGATTATAAGCATGCACCAGTGTACCCAGCTTCTTAATACATTTTCTTACTCCAGTGCAAATCTGATCAAGGGACCACTGACTTTGGCCGCTCCTCATGGTCTTCAGGATGGAATAAACATTTTTGGCTCCTGATAGCCACAAACTTTTCAGTTTCATCTCTTACACAATGTACTGCTTGCAGTTTTTTGTAATTTCCCAAGATCTTAGGGCCTCCTTTCTTTCCCTTTTTGGGAGGATTAAGAGTGTTGGGCTCTGCACTAAACATTAACACAACATTTTAGTTTTTACAGAGGTCAGCAATTTTAGATCAAGCCATATGGCAATTTCAAGTGGCTTTTTTTCCTAACGCCATAGTATCCCCCACCTTTTTTTTTTTTTTTTTTTTAAACAGAGAAAACTGAAGCGCTGAGAGATCAAGCACTTTAATACAAAGTTAGGTGTGTCTAACTCGAAATCCCATTCTAATACCCACAGTATACTTTAGGGCTAGTCCCAATGTTCCTGACTCTTGGGCCAAATCTGTCTAAGCCTTGCTCTTCAGGATGGTTCCTTCTTTAAGGTACCCTGTACATATATTCCTAAATCATTATAGTCTTTATCAGACTATCTTGTATACTTATCTGCATAAGAATTTGAGCTCCCAGGGAGCAAGGACCCAACTACAAAATCAGACTTTATTTTTCCATTATTGAACCTTATATGTTGTATGTATTTTGTTAAGTGAATGAATAAAAACAAATGCTAAAAAAAAAAAATGACTGGGGTTGTAGCTCAGAGGTAGAGCACTTGCCTAGCATGGGTAAGGCGCTGGGTTCAATTCTCAGCACTGCATATAAACAAACAAATAAAATGTCTACCAATAACTTAAAAAAAGATTATAGGGCTGGGGCTGTGTAGCTCAGCGGTAGAGTGCTTACCTAGCATGTGAGGCACTGGGTTCAATCCTTAGCACCACATAAAAATAAACAAATAAAATAAGGCAATTTKGGGGAAAAAAAAGGTTATAGAGGGGCTGGGTTGTGGCTCAGGGACAGTGCACTTGCCTAGCACATGTAAGGCACTGAGTTCGATCCTGCATACCACATTAAAAAAAATAATAAAGCCATACATATAAAAGAGATTATAGTAAAAAATTCTGGGTGTGATGGGGTACACCCGCAATTCCAGCAAATCTGGAGGCTGAGGAAAGAGGATCGCAAGCTCAAGACTAGCCTTAGCATCTTCTCTGTCCCACAATAAAAATAAAAAAGGGCTATGAATGGTTAAGCATCCCTGGGTTCAATCCCTGGTACAAAAAACTAAAAACAATAACAACAAATTCCCCCCAAAAGGTTGAAGATGTAAGAAAGTCTTTGGAGACAACTGATGCTGATGCTGGATTTTTTTTTTTCCTGGTGGAACTGCGGCTTGAACCCAGGGGGGCATTATACCACCAACCTACATCCCCAACCCTTTTTTGAGACAGGATCTTACTCAAATTGTGATCCTTCTGCCTCTGCCTCCCAAGTTCCTGACTCTTGATGCTGATTCTTAGGTTGGAAAAGGGAAATATTGCCTGCCAGGTGGAGATATGTAAGGGTAAGGAGGGTTCTCACCAGGGTAGGAGTTTTGATGGCTCAGAGCATGGAGGGTCTGGCAGACTGCAGTACAGGGAAGATGAAGCAAAAGCCAGCTGAGTGAATCAAGAGCTATGGTGGCAGGACCAGGATCTGTCCTCCTACATATGGCTCTCAAGACTCCCAGGGGTCCCTCAGGAAAAGCCTCCCCAGTTTTTGACCAACTGAGAGGGTCTCTGAAGAGGTCATAGTAAATCAGCCTGAAAAGGGAAAATAGGAGACATAATATTACCCCTTTCCCCTGCCACCTCAAATTTATCCTATCTTTGTGGCTCTATTTTTAAATTTTCGCTAATACCTTAAATTTTGGAGCTTACGCTCTTAGACATGCAACCTAAGATTGAGAGCATAGACTTTGGTGTCCAATAGCCTAAGCTCCAAGCTTGGCTTTGCTACTTGTATAAAATCACCTAACTGGGAATTCTACCTACTGAGCTACTTTTACATTTGTTCTAAACTCTCCAATTGTACTGCCTCTGTCTTGAGTTAGACCTTGGTCACCTCACAGCATTATTCTCTTTAAAATTCATTAAAACAAGGGCTGGGGTTGTGGCTCAGTGGTAGAGCACTTGCTTAACATGTGCAAGGGCCTGGGTTCAATTCTCAGCACCACATAAAAATAAATAAAATAAAGGTACTGTGTCCAACTACAATTAAAAAATCAATATTAAAAAATTCTAAACAATGTTGTTCACTGTTCTATCTCCACTATATAGCAGCACACATGGTTTATAACTGGTACACAGTATGTACCTGGATTACTGCAATAGCCTTCCTACCTGGTCTCTCTGTCTCTAGGCTGCCTTCTTCCAATCCATTCTCCACACAGTGACTGGGGTTGTAGCTCAGAGGTAGAGCACTTGCCTAGCATGGGTAAGGCACTGGATTCGATTCTCAATAACTTAAAAAAAGATTATAGGGCTGGGGCTGTGTAGCTCAGTGGTAGAGTATTTGCCTAGCATGTGAGGCAAGCACATGGACTAAAATTTCTAATAGGTATGGTGTTATCAACTCCCCTGCCAAATTTTCAAACCATTCCCCACTGACTTTGAGGAGTGGTTTGAAAATTTATACCTTTTACAATCAAGTTACCTCTTTATCTGCATGACTTCAGCTATTTTGGGAAGCTCTTCCACCTTTCATGATATGTCTTATCATACCTTCCTAGTTTTGCACATGCAATGAACCCTCTGCCCCTAGGACAAAACCCTCAGAAGTTTGCAGTCAGTGTTGAGCGAAGTCTGGAATGCATGGTTGAATAAAGCACCACCAGATTCTGAATGACTCAAAAGGCAGAGAGTGTTTATTCTTATCCTCCAGTTTGGTCTCTACTACTCAACAATATGGCCTACCTTTGTGTTGTGTGTGTGTGTGTGTGTGTGTGTGTTGGGGAGTACTGGGGATTGAACCCATTGGCGCTCTATCACTGAACTACATTCACAAACCCTTTTTGAGAAAGGGTATAGGTAAGTTGCCTGAGGCTGGCCTCAAATTCGGGGTCCTCCCGAGTTACTGGGATTACAGGCATGCGACCCAGACCGGGTTTTTATGTTTGTTGCTGTTAAGAAAGTCTCTTAACAACAGGGGCCCCACATCTAATGAAATTTCTCCCAATTTGTACTTACCGGCTGTTGACACAGGAGTCAAAACCTTCTCGAAACTCTTCCTCACTCACTTCACAGCCCAAGACGTGGACTTGCTCCCCACTACGGCAGAGATGAGGGGGAAATGTCGAAGAGTGGGGCACTGGCTCCCTTCTTAAGCAAGGACTGAGACACGCTGCCTGTTACTCACCGCAGTGCAGATTTCTTGATGAGCGCTTTCAGAAGACCCCGCCCCTCCCACTCCACGGAATCTAAGGAAAGCGAGGGCAGAATAAACACTGAGAACCTTGACGTTTCCACCTTCATAAAACAACCGCGACTTCCACTCCTAGCCTATGACCTATGGCCCTTCCTTCCCATTTCCACCCCATAAATCTGACCCGGAACCTCCGGTGCCTTAAGTTTCCTACCACGGAGCAGCACCAGGCCGCCCAGGGCCAACAGAGAATCCAGCATCTCTGACTGGCTTCCCACTCCTACTTCGACGCTCTCTGATGGCGTCACGATCCACAGCCCCGCCCGCTCCGGGTGAGAGGGCGGGGCACTCATTCCTCCCACAATTAAGAGCTGGCAAAGGCCGGAATGAGAGGTGATTTTATGTTCAGTATTCCCAGGAGAGCTAAGCGAAATGCCCCCTCCCGAGCCTTAGCGCACAGACGTAGGGACGATACCCACAGCCTACATTTTCACAATGACTGGGGCGGGAACAGCCGTTGGGACAGTTGTCTGAGGGAAGGGGAGGGGGTGGCACATCCCTCCCTCGACGGTCAGAGCCACAGGGCAAGTGACGTCACTCCGCCCCGCCCACGCTGTTCAAGACTTTGCCCCACTCCCCGCCCCGCGGTCGCCTTCGGCGCTTGCGCAATATCGAAGTGTTGTTGGGGGCGCGCTCGGCTTTCCTTATCCCTACCCCCGTAAGACCGAGTAGGGGGAACTTTAGTCCCGGTGAAGCGAATACACGTCACCACCGGAAGTAGTGTCAGAGGGGAAGAGGAGGGGGGAAAGAGAGGAGGAGGGAGACCTCTGGGCGGTAAAATGGCGCCTGTCAGAGTGGGAAATCCAGCTGCAGAAGCTGCAGCCCCGCTCCCCAGCGGCTAAGAGACCGCCGACCTCGGGGAGGGGGAGGCCACTTCGGTCCAGCGCTCCGTGCCTTTCGTCTCCCCCTCCCCTTGCTACCCTGCTCTTTCGCTCAGCCTGCCCATTCTCTCGCCGCGGCCCTTCGCGCGCCTCTTCCCCCGCCCGCCCCTTTCCCGCGGGCAGCCCCCTAGTGCGCCTGCGCAGCGGGCCACCCTCCGCTTCCCCTCCCCTCCCCCTCCCGTCTCCCTCCCTCCCTTTTCCCTAACCCCCTCCCCCACTACCCCCTCCCCCAATTCTCCATCCCCTTCCCTCCTAGTCTCAGAGGACCCCGTCCTTGCCCGACCTGTTTCGGCCTGCAAACTTCGCGAAGCCGTCGGTGCCCCTCCCCGCCCATGTGGGCCCCCGCGGGCTGCCCACGCCTGTCCCCCAGATCCCCGTTCCGCTGGGCTTTCCCCTCGCCGGGGGTGGCTTTCTGAGCCGCCCGTTCCGTGCCCTTCTCTGCAGCCTTTTCTGCCACTCGGGGCCCCCGTTCCCCCTCCCGGCGGCGGGGGGCTGCCCCCGGGGGGCTGGCTGAGCTGGGCCGCGGGGGCCCCGGGGCCGGCGGTGCCGGGGTCATCGGGATGATGCGGACGCAGTGTCTGCTGGGGCTGCGCACGTTCGTGGCCTTCGCCGCCAAGCTCTGGAGCTTCTTCATTTACCTTTTGCGGAGGCAGATCCGCACGGTGAGCCTGGGTGGGCACTGGCGGTGGTGGGGAACTCTGTTCTTGGTGCTCTTGGGTTTTCGGAAAGTGTCAGGCCTCTGGGCCCAAGAAGGGAGTCCTGACGGGGCTTTTCTACGAGAGGATTAGGGCATCCTAAGCGGGACGTAGGGTGGTGAGGGAGACCCTTGTAAGAGAACTGAGATCTGGGGTTTTTAATGGGACTAGATAGCACAGGATTTGGCAACTCTTGGGGGCTAGAGTGGTGGGTGGGGCGCTCTTTAAGAAAGCTGGAGTTGTTGCTAAAGAAACCGAGAGGCGGGGAACACCTGTTTGCTGGCAGCCAGATCTATGGATGTGGACTTGTGAAAGACCCTCCTGTTGGAACCTCTGGGTTTGTTTGGTCTTGGAGAGAGAGGCTTATGTGTGTCAAGGGTGGGGGGTGGGTGGGTAGGAGGGCATATGTAACAAATGAGGATGGGAACTTGGGGAAAGCCCTTGGTATGAAGGAGAAACCTCTGCAGTTTCTGTTAAGGAAACTCCTCCAAAAAGGCCCTGGAAACTTACTTCATAGTGGGATTGTAGAATTATGGATTTATTGGGACTCTGGACAGAAAAAGATGCTTTTATGATGACATTCCTTAGTTGTAGGAGGGAGCACATTAAAGTTTGGGCATMTGGGTTAGGAGACAGGCTGGTTAGTAGAGCTTGCATTTGAAGATGTGCTTGTTGCTCCAGAAGACCTTAGAATTGGGAGGGGGTGGGGTCAGACTGTTTGGATGTACCTAAGCATCTCTAGGTTCCCTCCTCCAAAGCTTTTCTCCAAGGTTGAAGAAGCTCCTTTGGCTAACATCACTTAGTGAATGTGCCCCTGTGTTGTCATCACCAGTTGGGCAAATACTCTGAAGGAGTGTGGGGAAAACTGAGTGAGCTGGGGTGTAGAAGTCTGTATTCTCTGGCATATTTCAATACAATTTGAAGGAATAAAATATAGTAGGGGTGGCCTGGGTCAAGAGAATTCCCAGAAAGCCCTGGGTGGGAGTGGTGATTGACTTATTGATTTTGGGGAATGGCCTGGCCTTGGGTTCTTCCTCTCCAACAGTTTATTTCTTCCAGTTCCTGATTTAGGGCTCCCACTGTTTGGGGAGGTGATGGTTGTAGGCAGGGCTATTCCCCTAAGAAAGTTAGAAGCCAAGAAAAAGTTGAGGTCAGAAAGGCTGAGACAAATGTGAAGCTAGCTCCTGGGGTTTTCTTTTATGTGTTGACTGTCATCCATTCTCTGTCTGATCTTGTCCTGAGAATTCCCTCTTCTCCCCCCAAATACACCAGTTTTAGGGGAGTAGTACTCCAGTCCATTTATTGGAAAGTTAGTTACTTYCAGAATTGCTTTTTGGGTAACACTGACCCAACAGCCTTTTGTCTTCCTTTCCAGTCTAGTTTCCTCCCCCACCCCGCTTTCTGGCAAACACTTGGAGCATTCCCTACATGCCCAGCATATGCAACCCGAGATAGGAGGGCAGGATACYGGAGCTGTTTCAGCCCTCATCACAGCCCAGGGAGAAAAGAAGGGCAGATGCCTTGGGATTAAGGGGAGAGAGGATTTTTTGGTTTGCAAACAGGGGGAGCCTGGTTCTGGTTTGGCTTGGGGCCTAGGCATAGATCAAAGAGTGTGCCTTAGAATAAAAGAGCAGAGAGAATTGCCAGGCTTTGCATGGTAGATCTGACTTGGGAAATATCCTAGAGAAGGCTTGGAGAAGGAAAGCTGGAAGTCTGAGGTGGTGACATTCCTGTTCCTTCTTCACTTCTCTCTCAAAGGCCTTACTTCATTCTGGCAGGTGGAGCTTTCCAATATTCTCTGCCTAACATGGGTACTGGGCTAAGGAGGTTGTTCAGGGGGTTGAGGTTCTCTGAAACTTGTGACTTGGCTTGTAGAGACACAAATGGACAGGTGGCTGGTTAAAATAGGTCTGGTGGCCACCAGCCAGAGGAACTTAGCTGACCTGACAACCTTTGGATTCCCTCATTCTCTATTCCCCTTAGCAAACCAAGGATCTCCTTGTCCACCAAGAGTCTGAGGCTTTTAGTTCCCAATGGAAGATGATGTTTCCACAATGAATCCTTGGAGTGAAAGTCGGGATTTCTTTGTTCAGCATACCAAACATCATGGTTAAGATGGCAGGCTCTTGGGTCAGTCTTCAGAGAACAATTCTGACTCTACCCCTTGATTGATTCTGTTAATATTAATGCCCACCCTTGCTGCAGTGTCCTAGGCAATGGGAAAGAAGCCATGATTGGGACAAAATTCATGCACTCATGCAGTTTTCATTCTAAATTGGGGAGGTAAGATGTTGAAACTTTGGAATCCTCAGTTTCTTCATCCTTAAAATAGGGATAATAACACCAGGCATGGTGGTGCAAACATGTAAACCAGCAACTTGGGAGACTGAGGCAGGAGGATTACAAGTTTGAAGCCAGCCTCAGCAACTTAGTGATATCCTGTCTCAAATAAAAACTAAAAAGGAATGGGATGTAGCTCAGTGTTAAAGTTCTCCTGGTAAAATCCCCAGTACCACCCCCCCCCCAAAAAAAAAAAAAAAGGTTTTGGGGAAGAGGGATAATAATATTATTAGAATAGTTTTAAGGATTAAGTGAAACAATCCTAAATCACGTAGTGCCCAGCATGTGATAGTCAGTTTTTGATACCTGTTATTATTACTGGGGAAGATGTCCTTGTTAAGTATTCTAATCCTTTCTCTTGTTATTTTTAGGTAATTCAATACCAAACTGTTCGATATGATATCCTCCCTTTATCTCCTGTGTCTCGGAATCGGCTAGGTGAGTATGGTGGCTGGAAAGACCCCTTGAGATGAAGCAGGACTCCACCTGTGGGCTGGAGGTCAGTTGCTGTTTTTCTTTCCCATTGTGGTTCAGCCCAGGTAAAGAGGAAGATCCTGGTGCTGGATCTGGATGAGACACTTATTCACTCCCACCATGATGGGGTCTTGAGGCCCACAGTGCGGCCTGGAACGCCTCCTGACTTTATTCTCAAGGTGTGTGGGGACGGATAGTGATGAAAGGGTTGTTTGTGTCTGTTACTCTGCCCAGTCCTGGGCTCCCTTGCCCAGAGTATCTGGTCCCTGATCCCTGGCACCTGTGTCGGCCTGGAAAGCAGGAGGTAGTGGGGGTTACAGAGATGTTGTCTAGGCCTGTGTCATGGTGTTCAGAATTTGCTCAGTCCTTCCTTTCTACAGGTGGTCATAGACAAACATCCTGTCCGTTTTTTTGTACATAAGCGGCCCCATGTGGACTTCTTCTTAGAAGTGGTGAGTATACACAAGCTAAAGGGAATTCTGTAATGAAGGAATAGTTGTAGGGCTTGGGGATTTTAGGGGATTTGGGGAAAGGGGCGAGAAGTGGGTGAGGGCAATTTTGGAGAGGGAAGGATGTATGAAGGTAAAGGAATGACTTTCAGTAGTTGAGGTTCATTTGTTATACTGATATAATTCTATTCTTCCATGGGCATCCTACTCATTTGTGTTTGTATTTTTGAATCTTAAGTTATGGAAAGCCTCACACACTGATTTTGAAGGTTTGGGGAATTTCAGAATTTCCTGTCCCCAAAGACATTTGATGTTGCTAGGAGGCCTGAAGCATTAGACTGAAAAAGAACTGTACACCAGTTTAAAAAACCCAGGGTGGAGTAGGGGGAGGTGTGTGTGTGTGTGTGTGTGTGAGAGAGAGAGAGAGAGAGAGAGAGAGAGAGAGAGAGCGCGAGCATGCAGGTGCATGAGATATAAAGAGAGGGAGCGCGTGCAACACACACACACACACTCACCCTGTACATCTTAATGAATCATCACCTCCTGTAACACCTCTTTTTCTTCCAATCTATTTCAGGTGAGCCAGTGGTACGAGCTGGTGGTGTTTACAGCAAGCATGGAGATTTATGGCTCTGCTGTGGCAGATAAACTGGACAATAGCAGAAGCATTCTCAAGAGGAGATACTACAGACAGGTAAGGAGCTAGAGTCCAGGTTTAAAAGTGATGCAGGCCACTAGGGAGGGATCTGGCTTTGAGGCAGTTGCCTTGATGGGGAAGTTGGGGAGGTGTACTCCATAATCCCCTGCCTTTCAGCACTGCACTTTGGAGTTGGGCAGCTACATCAAGGACCTCTCTGTGGTCCACAGTGACCTCTCCAGCATTGTGATCCTGGATAATTCACCAGGGGCTTACAGGAGCCACCCAGGTATGGGGGAAGGTGATGAGTCTGTCAGGGCCAGGACATGACTCATGGGTTATTTTTTTTTCCTCCCCACCCCACTTTGGCAGTGCTGGGGATGGAACCCAGGGTCTTGTACATGCTGGTCAACCAGCAGCAACATACTCAGCCCACTCATGAGGCATTTTGAATGGAGGGAACTAGAAGGCTGGATACCTGGGCTTTGAGGTCTGGGATTTCCTGGTCCACGTGCAAGTTCTCTATTTCAAGTGAGATACCCGCCCCCATGTGTGAATTTCACAAGTCAGATTTCCTGTACCATTTGTTTCAGGTGGGCTACAATGATAATAAAATTTAACTAGAAACTTCACACTAGTATGAATTTGGGTGATTAATGTATAATCAGGAAGATTTTTACTTAGGCTGTTGACTTGGGTGGTGGAGGTATAGTTTTTTTTTTTTTTTTTTTTTTTAAGTAATGATTTTCAGGAAAAACTTCCAGTATCTCTTGAATCCTTTCTTCTCATCTACATTTTCACCCACTCCAGACAACGCCATCCCCATCAAATCCTGGTTCAGTGACCCCAGTGACACGGCCCTTCTCAATCTGCTCCCAATGCTGGATGCCCTCAGGTAAGGGAAGTGAGTTCTAGATAATCTGGATTTCTGAGGAAAGATAGATAGAGGTGGGGGATCCCAAGGGAATAAAAACATTTTCCGAGTTTTATTTACTTACCTTTCTTCCCTTAAGAGCTTAAATGTTTGGACAAGGTCTTCTCAATTCCAAAGCTCGTCATTCTTAGCCATAGGGTTTTGTTCAAATGACCTGTCTCATCATGTGAAAGTGGTGTTTAATTCTGCCCCGTATCCAGTGAGGTGCCTTACACTAGTGTTGTGAGATGTCAACTATAAGGTACTCCACCAATGCAAGTTATTGTCATCCCAGGTTCACCGCTGATGTTCGATCCGTGTTGAGCCGAAATCTTCACCAACATAGGCTCTGGTGACAGCTGCTGCCCCTCCACCTGAGTTGGGGTGGGGGGGAAGGGAGGGCAAGCCCTTGGGATGCCGTCAGATGCCCTGTCCAATGTGAGGACTGCCTGGGCAGGGTCTGCCCCTCCCACCCCTCTGCCCTGGGAGCCCTACACTCCATTTGGAGTCTGGATGGACACATGGGCCAGACTGTGAAGCAGCCTCACTCTAACTTCGTGTTCACACTCCATGGAAACCCCAGACTGGGACAGGTGGAGGCCTTGGAGAGCCGAAACTGTCTGGTGGAGAGGCAGGACTGGCTGGAGTGAGAGACAGACATACCGTGATCCAGGAGGCTCAAAGAGAAGCCAAGTCAGCTTTGTTGTGATTTGATTTTTTTTTAAAACTCTTGTAAAAAAACTGATCTAATTCTTCACTCCTGCTCCAAGGGCTGGGCTGTGGGTGGGAGACTGGGATTTTGGGCCACTGGATCCTCCCTAAACTTGTCCTTCCCTTTCTTTCCCTCTRTTTTTCTCCCTAGATTCCCTCCAACCTGTAACTAGCTTTCTCTCTTTTTTTCCCCTTTCCTCTCTTTTAAACCATGCATTATAACTTTGAAACCAAAGCTGCCCTAGGTCCTTCTCTGGGGTTTTGGGAAATGAAGGGAGGGGACTGTGTTCACATCCACCCTGTCCCAGAGCAAGATGGAAAGAGCGATGGGGAGTAACCGGAAAGTTGGTGATGAATATGGAGATAGAGTAGTGAATAGTAGGTTTAAGCTACTTTGGCTGGAAGGGCCCAAGTGACAGAATGAGAGTGAGGCAGCTTCAGAGCAGTAGTGTATGGAATGACGAAAGGAGCTGAATCCTGGAGACTCCAAAGGGCATACAGCTGGAGAAAAACCTGGCTTCAGGGGACTGACGTGGCCTGGCTGAGCCCGCGCTGCCCCCAGGTGGATGGCACCCAGGTTCCGGGCCGGCCTTGCCCGCTCTTGCCCTGGCCCCGCCTCCCTGGCACCTCCTCCCCGTAGCCGGCTCTACTTCTTTGCACCCGCCACGTGACGCTCCGCCCTTCTCTGAGATCACATGACTTTCGTAGAAAACAAATTCTGGAGTGTTCTTCCGCCCTGGCGTGGTTCCTGCCTTTTGGAGTTCATTTCGAATCCTTGTCGGTCCGCTCATTCCTGGTCATTAATCCTTATATACATCTGTCCGAACATCTATTTCTTTCTTTTCCTCTTGTTTCTGGAGTTCGTTTCCGCCACTTGGGTACTATTTTGTTTTGGTGTCAACGGCCGCCTTCAACGTAGCAACACGTTTCGTGAATAGCTAGCCTTGTAATTGTCTCTGGTCGTCTCCTACGTTATTTCCGAAAATAACTTCTGGAGAACCAAGTCTCATACTATGATTATCATCTCTTATCCCTTTTCATTCCAAACTTAGTGGCTGGGGGAGGTGGAGAAAGGGTTTTTAGTATTTTTCACCGTAGTAAAACCCAGCAACCTTTGCTACGTTGCCTGCGTAGCCCACAAATTGATTCCAAAGAGATTACGCAGATGACGTGAGGTGGACGGACTGTGGGTGGTGCTACGCTAGCGGCGTTAGTGCGCTGTGCCACTTAGCGTATCTTAGCAGGCGGGGCAACCCCGGAAGGTCGGGGGCGGGGTTGGTGAATAGGGAAGTGGCGCAAGTTCGTGGATCGCTCCGCTGAGTCCGCCCGCGCGTCGCCGCCGTCGCCGCCGCCCCCCCATCCCGGCCCCCCCTCCCCCGGGTTCCCTCAGCCCAGCTCGGTCCAGCCCGGTTCCCGGGAGGATGAAGTTCGTGTACAAAGAGGAGCATCCGTTCGAGAAGCGCCGCTCTGAGGGCGAGAAGATCCGAAAGAAATACCCGGACCGGGTCCCGGTGAGGACAGTAGCCAGGCCAAGGGCTCAGGGTGCTGACGCCAAGCCTGGGCTTGGGTTTGAGACCAGCAGCGCCAGAATTGGGCTGCCCGTCTGTGGTGGGGCAAGAATTGAGCCCAAAACTGTTGTCCCTGAGAGGAGGGTTGAAAGGAGTGGAATAGCTGAAGAGCTGGGGGTTGAGGGGATGTCGACCGGAGAGAGAAATTTTGGCATCTGTGTGAGTGAGGCCGTGGGGTTTTGACAGTCTGGGCTTTTTATGGTCATCCTCCCAGCTAGCCGAGTTTTCGAGATTGAAGCTCAAGTCAGCCCAGACAAGTCACCCACTCCTTTGATTAAGGTACTTGTTTGTTATGACGCGCTTTTGGGGGATCGATCCTGGGTATTTAGGTGAGCCAGAGAGGTCAGGATCTCTGGACTCAGTGCTACATCGCATGTACAGAGACAAAGAAAAATGAGTCTGGGGCAGGTTTGAGTACTGGGAATATATTGTAGCTTGAGTTCCTGATCAGTGGAGCTGTCGTCTGTAGTCTTTATGTCTCTTAATTTTCATCTTTCCTTTATCAGGTGATAGTAGAAAAAGCTCCTAAAGCTCGGATAGGAGATCTGGACAAAAAGAAATACTTGGTGCCTTCTGATCTGACAGGTGGGAACCTGACCCAAGACCTAGGTTTGCTTCCTGTTGGTGGGAGTGCCATCTCTGTGGGAGGAGGCTCCATCTAGCAGCTGCTCTTTGAAAGGCATTTATGACCTTTGTGACTTTCTTGCACCTTATATCTTTGGCAGTTGGTCAGTTCTACTTCTTGATCCGGAAGCGAATACATCTCCGAGCTGAGGATGCCTTGTTTTTCTTTGTCAACAATGTCATTCCACCCACTAGTGCCACTATGGGTCAGCTATACCAGGTATGGTTCCTGGGAAGTAATAGTGGCTTTGGAAGGGAGTTCTGGGAGAGCTTGAGGGGAAGAAAGTGCTACTTTTTTGAATTAACATTAGTAGCATTAAAACCTCCTGTCTGTCTTGGGTTGGAGTTGGACAGAACAGTGGGAGTAGAGAGAAGGGAATCAACCAGTGAACTAGAGGAACTGTTATGGTGACTACCTAGTTCCCTTCCTCATTCCAAAATATCAGAAAACACAAATATTTTGCCTCAGGACTACTGCAGAGCCTACTGTCAATGAAGGAGAGTAAGGCACTGGTTTTGGGGGTCCTTAAGAAGAATGGTTCTTGAAGAATGTGTCTGGTTAGTGAATGGTTCAAGTAACTGAAACCAGTTCCCTGAACAACAGTTTCTCTTTTCATTCCCAGGAACACCACGAAGAAGACTTCTTTCTATACATTGCCTACAGTGATGAAAGTGTCTACGGTCTGTGAAGCTGCTGCCCCTGAGGTGGGGGGTCCCATTCCACAAAGAGAGAGGTGGCACCCTTTTCTTGACCTCCACCTCCTTCAGGCTCAAACACCACCTCCCTTCTTTGGGACCTGCACTTCTTAATGTTTGAGGCTCCTTCTCCAGCCCCTCTTAGCAGGAGGGGTAATGGTGGACATGACCTCTTGTACTTCTCCTTTCTCCCCTTTCCCCACCTTTCTTTGTCCTCCATCCTGACTCCACTTTAGACTTCTTGATTGTCAATCTCTGTCACCTCCAGTGATTGTTTTGGTTTCTGTTCCTTTCTAACTGCCCAGGGGGCTCAGAACCCCAACAATCCCTTCCTTTCATTACCTTCTTTTTGGGGGGTAGATGGAAGGGCCTGAAATTGTCGGGGGAAGGTAGGAGGCACATCAATAAAGAGGAAACCACCAAGCTGAACTGAATTTTGCTTTGTGTTGCTCTCTCGGGCTTTTCTTTTCAGTGTTTCCAAGACCTTGTGGGCTTCAGCGGTGGGGTAAGAGGAGGGAATGGGTATTATTTGGAGGAACAGATATATTTTTTGGTTTATTCTGTTGATGTTGGGCATTTCCCTGTCAGCATAAAAAGGATGCGTTTGTTGTCAATGGTGAAACACTAGTTTCATGTACGGGTTTCTTGGATTCTAAATACTCTTTTTTTCATTGTTGGTTCCTGTGAAGAAAGTTTGAAAGTATCTGCTTTAGATAAACATATCCAATTTTGTTATTCCAGATTATTCATGTGTGGGAGGTGGTGCAAGTACTGTTGTCCTCAGTTGCCTGTCACAAATTTTGTGTCAGCCTGTATGATTCCGTGGAGTAGAATCCGAGGGAGGGAGAAAACTGGGAGGGGGGGGAAAACACAAAACATTATTACCAAGAGAACTTCATTTCCCAACAATCATTTCTCCGCCCTGCCGGAAGTGGGGCGGTCTTTCGGGGGAGAAAGAAGGTGCAGAATGAGGCAGTATGGTGGCCGAGAGTTCTAATCCCTTCTTCCTCTTAATTTTTGGTCCCGCCTAGCCTACATTTCCCAGCGGCCTCTGCGTGTTCTTCCGGTCTATGCACTAACACCCGAGCTCCCCGCCACTCCCCGGGGATGGGGAGAGGCTTATTGCGCTTGCGCCAGCCCGTGGCTTGCTGGGACCTGAAGTTCCAGAGGCTTATATGGTCCCCTTTCCGCTGTCCCCGGATGGACTACAAGCTCCTTGGTGCATTGCGCGTCGGCGCCGACGGAGGGGGGTCGGGGGGAAAGGAGGGAGGGAGGAGGGAGAAGAGAGGAGGAGGAGGGAGCAGGCGGCCGGCGGCGCTGGGGGAGGGGGCCCGGTCCGGGAGTGCGGGAGGCAGTGGTAAAGGGAGGTGGCGGCAGCAGCTAGCGGACTGGAGTCTCAACGGAGCCGAAGCGGACACTTCTGTGGAGCGAGGCAGTAGGAGTACCGAGCACCAGAGGCGGCACCGGGATCCCCGGCTGAGGGGAGGGGGGCGCCGGACCGGGAGGAGGGGAGGGGGCGATGCTGGAAGCCATGGCGGAGCCCAGTCCCGAAGGTGAGCTCTCGACCGGCACGGAGCTGGCGGCGGGCGGGCGAGGGATCAATTGGCAAACTTGGAGGTCGAGCCCCAGAGCTCAGCGGGGGAGTGCGGGGAAGGGGTCGGGGGCCTGGCCCTGGAGCTGGGAAAGCGACGAGTTATAGACCCTGGAGAAAGGAGTGGGAGACTGGGTTGGGGTACTTGGAGATGAGACCCCGTGTATGGTTTCTTTTTCGCGGTGGGGGAGCGGCAGGGGATAGGAGCTGGAAACCCTGAGCTTCGGGGGTTAGGGGCCGAAAGGGCCTTGTACTGGTTGGGGCCGTGGAGCAGGGAGGTTGGGGAAATCAGGGGCCAGGAGAGTTGTTGAGGAGGGAGGATGTATAAGAGGACAGAGTGAGGGGCTCGGTAATTGGTTGAGGTGGGGGAGTTTGTGGCGGTGGTGCCGGAGCTCCTCGTAGTTGCCGCCAGAGATAGCCCTGTGATTGTTAGAGGAGTGGGCAGGTAGTTGTGGGGAGAAGTGGGGTCTGGGTATTGTYTGTGGTAGAGAGACTTGTGCCGGGGGCTAGTTGTGGGGCGAGAGWGCCCGAGAGCGAGGCGAACTGGGTAGTTGTAGGAGGCGGTGGGGCAGGGTTGGGGGTTAAGACCGGCGACTGGCGGGGGGAGGTTGGTCGGCGAGGGTTAGAGCCTGGGAGTTGCGAAGGGTGAGGGGAGCTTCCGTGGAAAGAGTAGCTGGTTTGGGGGGCTGGAGTTTAGGGATCTGTAGCCTAGTGACTTGGTGAGTACGGGGGCGGAGGGGGGGCGGCGGCCGGCGAAGCTCGGAACAGGGCCCGGGGGCCCGGCGGGGAGCCCGAGGAGCTCGAGACGGGGAGGGGCCAAAGCCCCGGATGGGGGCGGAGGGACGGCGAAAATTGTGGGGAGCCTTGTGCGTGTGGGGGGGCAGGTGGGGCCGCGTCCGGGTTCGAGCTCTCTGGTCTGTCCCAGACACTAAGTAGCGTTGGATGTGTGTGCCCGCGTATGTTTGGGGTGAGGGTGAGRGGCGCGCCCGGCCTCGTGCTCGAGGAGAAGGGGCCGGAGGGCGGAGAGCGGTTCAGCGTGGTCATCCAGGACCCTGGGTGCCGGCGGGCAGTATGTGCGGTCTTGGAGGGCCCGGGGCGGTGGAGCGCGGCGATGTAGGAACTCCGGGCTCTGAGCGCGTGTGAAGGACGGGGGCGGGCGGTGGCCGGGGCTTGGCCCCGGGAGCGGTGTGGCGGGGTGGGGCGCTGAGATCCGAGTAGACTGAAGAAGCCGTGAGTGGGGGGGGGCGGGGCGCCGGGCCTCCGGTTGGGGGGAGGGGAGCGCTATAGCGAGGCCGAGAGGGCGCCGCGCCCAGACTCCGCCCCTCTTGGGGCGGAAGGGGGAGCAGGGGCGGGTCCAACACAGCTGGGGGCCTGCTGGTCTGGCTAGGGACCTAGAGGAGAGGAAGGGGTTCACTTGGGACCTCCATGCGTTAGAGGTGGAGACTGTTTTACACAGACTGTTTCCTAGTACCTTGACTCAGCTTTTATTACTTCCACAGATCCACCTCCGACACTTAAACCAGAGACTCAGGTGAGATGTCCCTTATCTTTACAGGCTGCTATCATTACCTACCAACAGTACCCTTCCTCTTTTTCTAGATTTCTCACTTTAGGGATTGTGCCTTTGGGAATGCTCCTCCAGTCTGGCTTCCATGTGATCCTTGTTTCCTTCCTTTCAGCCACCAGAGAAACGCCGGAGAACAATTGAGGATTTCAACAAATTCTGCAGTTTTGTTTTGGCCTATGCTGGTTACATTCCCCCCAGCAAAGAGGTAGGGACAGGAGAACAGCTACCTTGAGGTGGGATTGTGTTATTTTATAGGAGGAACCTACCTGAAATGATATATAAACCTGGGTAAATTTGAAGTTCAGGGCTGTGATAAGAAAGCTGGTGTGTGGGAGGGGGGATAATAGAGAAAACTGGCTTGAGCAGCAGTGATAGAGGGGATCTGGAGGCATTGGTCAAGATTTTGGAGTGGTATTGGGTTACTGGAATGGAAGTGTTTCTGGATACATTTTAGGGAGCTGAAAATGGTAACAAATGAGGCTGTACAGAAACAGTTCAAGAAATGTTGCTTTGGTCTGCAGGGGTGCAGTGTTCCATAGACCCTGGGCAGGTGTGGGAAGATGCTGAGAACTTGAGGGCAGAGGTAACATGAAAGTGATCAGTAGGAGATGCTGATAGGAATTGGGATAAGAATAAATTTTCAGTACAGTGAGACTTGGTGGTTGGTGTCTCTGGTTGTCAGGCTAGGTTTGTGAAGCAGCTGATGAGATAGATACTGGGTTCCTGCTGACCCTGCTCTCCCTTGTTTTTAAGGAAAGTGATTGGCCAGCCTCTGGCTCCAGCTCCCCATTGCGCGGTGAGAGTGCTGCAGACAGTGATGGCTGGGACTCAGCCCCCTCTGATCTTCGAACCATTCAGACCTTTGTTAAGAAAGCAAAGTCATCTAAGAGAAGGGCGGCTCAAGCAGGTCCTACTCAGCCTGGACCCCCAAGGTCCACCTTCTCACGTCTGCAGGCTCCTGACAGTGCCACCCTGCTTGAGAAAATGAAGCTCAAGGACTCTCTCTTTGATTTGGATGGGCCCAAAGTGGCATCTCCACTGTCCCCCACATCCCTGACACATACCTCCCGGTCCCCTGCTGCTCTCACCCCAGTGCCCCTTTCCCAGGGAGATCTCTCCCAGCCTCGAAAGAAGGACAGAAAGAACCGAAAATTGGGGCCAGGAGGTGGGGCTGGCTTTGGGGTGCTTCGGCGGCCTCGGCCAAGTCCTGGGGATGGGGAAAAGAGGTCTCGAATTAAGAAGAGCAAGAAGCGGAAGTTGAAAAAGGCTGAGCGGGGGGATAGACTCCCACCTCCTGGCCCTCCCAGGGCACCCCCCAGTGATACAGACTCTGAAGAGGAGGAGGAGGAGGAGGAGGAAGAAGAAGAAGAGGAAGAGGAAGAGATGGCAGCAGTGGTAGGGGGTGAAACCCCAGCCCCTGTACTCCCAACACCCCCTGAGGCTCCTAGGCCTCCTGCCTCAGTGCACCCTGAAGGAGCCCCTCCCACTGACAGTGAAGGCAAGGAGGTGGGCAGCACTGAAACAAGCCAAGATGGAGATGCCAGCTCCAGTGAAGGCGAAATGCGGGTCATGGATGAGGACATCATGGTAGAATCAGGTGAGGGRTTTGGGGCTGCTCTCTGAACAATGAGGATGGTGGGATTAGGGTGGAGGGCTTTGGTGATAGATCCAAGAGCTCAGGCAAAACATCAAATGAACCTTCTTTTCCCCAGGTGATGACTCATGGGATCTGATCACGTGTTACTGCCGAAAGCCMTTTGCAGGGCGGCCCATGATTGAGTGCAGCCTGTGTGGGACATGGATTCACCTCTCCTGTGCTAAGATTAAGAAGACCAATGTCCCTGACTTCTTTTATTGTCAGAAATGCAAGGAACTGCGGCCAGAGGCCCGGCGATTAGGGGGGCTTCCCAAATCTGGAGAGCCCTGACATTTCTAGGCTGGAACTTGAAAATGACAACATAACTTGGGAACTGAGCCTCAGAGTCCTCAGTCTGTTCCCCTGGAGCTTGGATACTGTCCTTATTTCAGGGCAGGAATCCCCAAAGGAGACTTGTTTGGAATGGAAATGAGTGGCTTCYGATCCTACCCTATCCTTCCTCCCCATTCTATGGACTTGAAATTGGACATATTGTAGTTGGGGGAAGGAAGCTATCCGGGCCTATAGACACAAAATGTCTCTCCCTTGGACCTCTCACCCCTCACTTTTTGGGTCAGGGTTCAAATTGGGATGAAATGGGACAGTTGTCTATAAAACTAGTGTAAATATAGCACTCCCTTCCATCATCTTTTCTTCACTCCCCATTTATTTTCTTCCACACCGGTTATATTTTTAATTTTGGACTTCCCCCTTTGAGCATGGCAGCTCAGAGGTGGAGTACCAGAGCCTGGCTGAGTGAGGAAGGAAAGCAGAAAGGTGATGTTTCTCACCTCTTTTGTTTTTAATAATATTGGCCAGCTGTTTGTACAGACAGCCTGCGTGTTGTAAATAAAGCAGAGTGGGCTCTTGTGTTTATAGCCCTCACTCAGTGTCCTGTTTGGGAGGGAGGCTTGGGAAAAGCTGGCAGAAGACTGGCTGGACCTGGGGCTGAAATCCCATTCTCCAATCTGAAAGTGGGCCGCCTCTGGGCTTTACCTATTCCAGATACTCCTGGAGGAGCCGACCCTGAAACCTCAATTGGCTTGCCCCTCCCCACTTCAGGTTATACCCTACCCCAAACAATCCCCACTCTCAGTGGTGTTCTCAGGAGTGCTTAGCGCTCCCTCGGTGGGAGGAGGGCTGCGCCGTGGGAGCCCGTTGCCTGCTCCCTGAGCGGAGACCAGTTTCAGCCAAGGTGCTCTCCGACCTCCTGTGGGGGCACATTTGGGGGCGGGGCCGTTTTGGACCCAGAGGCGGTTGCCTAAGGCAGCGGGTCACGTGGCGGCGGCCCTAGGAGGAGTGGGAGTCACGTGATCAACGAGGCCCCACGTGACGGGGCGGTGCGAAGTAGGCGGGCTTGTGTCACGTGGCATGAGGAGAGGTGGGCGGGGATCTGAAGAACGCTAGCGTCGTCGGTGGCGGTGGCGCGCGGCCGCGGCATCCGCGGCTCTAGGTCGCACCCTTCGGCCTACCGCCACTTCCCCACTGCCTCACGCCTTTCCTTTACTCATCTCCCGCACTGAGCGGGTCCTGGCCGCGCTCTCGCTCGTTTGCGGTGTGCGCAGGCGCGGCGGGGGCGATTAGCTCCATTGGGTGGGCGGTGGATCCCGGGAGCGCGCGGGCGAGACCATGGCGGGTTGCAGCACAGGGGGCGTTGGTGCCGGGGAGACGAAGGTGATTTACCACCTGGATGAAGAAGAGACTCCCTACCTGGTGAAGATCCCTGTCCCTGCTGAGCGCATCACGCTGGGAGATTTCAAGAGTGTTCTGCAGCGACCCGCGGGCGCTAAGTACTTTTTCAAGTCTATGGATCAGGATTTCGGGTGAGCGCGAGGCCTAGACGGGGGAGCACCGGGTTTTGTTTTTTTTTTTTTCCCAGTGGATTGGGCGATATTGAGATGCACAMATCTACACTAGGCTACTTTGAGATCTTCTGCTTCATGGTAGAGCAGATTGTACTATGCTTGGATAGATTGGTTGTATCTCAGGGCGGACAAAATTATACTTGGAACAGAGAGCACACGGAGCTACAGGAGGACAGCCTGGGCTATACTAAACCAGTTAAGAGAAGATTAAACTGCACTGGGAAAGATACGGGCATTTTTTGGGGGGAGTGGGGATAGTCTGGACTGCACTGAGGTACACTGTCTTCTGGTAGTTTGGTAAGCTGTAAGCAGTCCTGTAGCTCACAGGCTATGTAGGGATACTCYGGAATCTGATGTAGTTTGAATTATACTGGGGCAATTTGGGATATTCTGGCATTTACTAGGACGACAAGATTGTTTTAGGACGTTTTAATCTATTGTAATGCAAAGAAGGTTCCATARGGATGTTCTAGGCTGCCCTGAAGTAGATCATCCTGGAGAAACTTTGACCATTCTGGATTTTACTGGGTTGGTTTTAGTTTCTCTTGGTACCAGACATGGTTTTATTGGGTCACTCAAGACAGGCTGTTGGGGGATAGTCAGTACAGACAGCTGTATTGGGATATCATAGTCTTATGTTCGTGCAGACAGCTGCTTGTGGGAACAATGTAGGCTGTATTAGAATTAGATGGGCTATCTTGGTGTGATTTGGGAACTTCTGCGCTAGGCTGGAACTGCAAATAATACAAGTGAACCCATTTGTGGTAGCCTTTGGGACTGAGTCCTCAAATCCACCTCAGAGTTTTTGAAGGTACACTGCATTAGGTTGGGATAATCTGGGTTGGCAGAAGCTGGTGGGGGCAGGGTGCAATGGTGTCAGGTAGACAGAGGTGATTTGCACCTGGATGAGGAAGAGACTTCCTGTCTGCTGAAGATTGCTATTCTAGCCTAGTGCATCACCCTTAGTTAGGAGAACTGAACAAACTGGACCCTACCTAGAAAGACTGTTCAATGTTGAGGCAAATATTATCTTGGGAGTTATCTTGAATTTAAATCAAGGTGATTCTGTTGGTCAGCAATGTCATCTTGGGTATTTTGTTTAACTTCTGTGCCTTGATTTTTTCTTATATGAAATGGAGCTAGTCATAGAGTGAAATACTTATTACTTCAGGTGCATGGCACAGAGTAAATTCTTGGTGAGTGGCAATTTTCATTGTTAGTATCCAGGCTGACTAGTCTATAGACTAGGTTATAGTGTTATAGAAATACAGATCTTGGAGTAGACTGAGTTTCACTAAGATTGAGTAATGCTGGGAAGAATATTATGAACAAATTGATAGAGACTGGGCTGTGTTGTCACATCGGTACCAAATGGATTAATGGAATATATCCAGGCTCCCACATCATGTTAGGCTAAATGGTTAATCAGACAAGATGTCCTAATTCGAGGGTGAGGGTGTGTTTAAGAAACACTCATATTTGACATATTTATTGATTTAGTTTATAGATATTTTTTCATGCCTGCTAAAGTTAGGGATGGTGCTCCAATACATGGTGTTGAACAGAATAGGTGTTGATGATTCAACGTGGTGGTTGAGAAGAATGTACAAATCCAGTCGATTTSAGGAAACTTGTGGTAGAAATGTTCCCTAAGGATAGGTTTTGAAATCCGTTAGGCTGAGCAGATYGCTTAGTGTAGTGTTTAGTGCCATGTGAGGCACAGGGGAATGGGAAGCTCTGCTTCCCCTCTCTTTAGACGTTCTGTGCATAATGAGAAGGTATTATTGTCTTATCTAATGGGTGTTTGTATTCAGGCAAAGACTACATATTTGGACAGCTCTCTGGATGTGAGTTAGAGAAAACTAAAGGGAAGTGAAAGAGTAGAGACTTGAGGACCAAAGCCTTTTTTGGGCAGGTGTATAAAGGGATGGGATTGGGAAGATGCTGCCAGCATGGCTCTTAAGTTAACTGTTTTGGGTAGCTGGGTAACCACAAGGAATAGCCTTTGAAGTTGGATGGAGAAGTTGAATCAGACCCAAGAAAGTTTTTTTTTTTTCTCTTTTTTGGTACTGGGGATTGAACCCAGGGGTACTTAACTGAGTCACATCTTCAGCCCTTTTTATTTTGAGACAGGGTCTCACTAAGTTGCTTGGGGCCTCTGCAAGTTGCTGAGGCCGGCTTTGAATTTGTGATCCTTTTGCTTTAGCCTCCCTAGTTGCTGGGATTATAGGCATGCATCACTATGCTTAGCCCAGGAAAGTTTTTGGAGCAGTTCTCTGCTCCTGAAGATGAGCTGGGGAGAGAAGGTGAAGTTGGGAGAGGGAATTGAGTCTGGAGATTCTTAATTGTGAGTGAGTGTGTGTCAGCATAAGAGCAGATGACTTGGACAGAGCAGGAGAGAGTTAGCATCTTTGGGATGGATGGAGATTGGGGGAAACTTTGGGGATGAGGGTGGGGATAAACTAGTTCAGTCTTGCTGACCTCTCAGGTCTCTTGGTAGGGTGGTGAAGGAAGAAATTTCAGATGACAATGCCCGCCTCCCCTGCTTCAATGGAAGAGTGGTATCCTGGGTAAGGATACTCATTATCAAGCTGCTCTAAGCCTCTTATCTGTTTCTATAGCTCCCTGTTCCCAGTTGTTGGCAGTGCTGGCTTCCTGCTTCCTTACCTACTTAGAGAGCCAGCAGGAATCCCTCAGCCTTCTCGAGCCTCTTTGATTGGCTGCTCCTCTTTTGGGTTCTTTCCCAGGGTCTCTGAGATCCTATCCCCTTTCTGATCCTTTCTCTTAATTCTTTCTCTTATACCCCATCTCCCAATGGAGTCATGTTTTCTTATTTGCACTCTTTTAGCTAGTGTCATCAGATAACCCCCAACCCGAGGTGGCTCCCCCAGCCCATGAGCCTCGGACAGAACTGGTGCCTCCACCCCCACCATTACCCCCTTTGCCACCAGAGAGGACCAGTGGCATTGGGGACTCAAGGCCTCCATCCTTCCAGTGAGTCGTCTGCATTCTAGAGTCCAGGGGAAAGAATCTAAGCCCTTTGGAGGGGAGGCCAAAGATTTGGAGTTCTGTTCTGATGTGGGTTGGAAACTGTCTCTGCCCATCTAGCCCTAATGTGTCTGGCAGCCATGAAAATCTGGATCCTGAGACAGAAACTGAGTCGGTTGTGTCACTGAGGCGGGAGCGGCCTCGAAGGAGAGACAGCAGTGAGCATGGCGGTGAGGGGGGCCAGGTCCTGGAGGCTGGGTAGACTGGGAGCTGGGAAGAGAGATGGGTCTTAGCTTTGATGAGGGTGAGGGGCAGGAGCCCTGAACCTGAGGTTCTTGTTCTTACACAGCTGGTGGCCACAGGCCCAGTGGCCCCTCCAGGCTAGAGCGCCACCTGGCTGGGTATGAGAGCTCGTCTACCCTCATGACCAGTGAGTTGGAGAGTACCAGTCTTGGAGACTCAGATGAAGATGACACTATGAGCAGGTATGGCTCCACACCTCTTCCCAGGGCTTCTGGCCCCTCTCTTTCCTCCATCCCATCAGTCCTCATTATTTCTCTTGGTTCCATGACCACTTCTGCCTGTGAGAGTTCTACCTCTCAACTGTTGTCAGGTTCAGCAGCTCCACAGAGCAAAGCAATGCCTCCCGCCTCCTCAAACGCCATCGACGGCGGAGGAAACAGCGGCCACCTCGCATGGAAAGGGTGAGGGGATTCTCATGAGACAAGTGGGCTTCAATTTAGGCAGTCCTATGGTACAGAAGCAGCCTGGGTTGCTGAAGGGCAGTCCAACTCCCTCCTGTCTCTCCACAGACCTCATCCTTCAGCAGTGTCACAGATTCCACCATGTCTCTCAACATCATTACAGTCACACTCAACATGGGTATGGTGGGGCCTGGCTGGGGAAGGGGAGTACCTGGTGCCCAGGGTTCTTAGGGCTTTTCTTCCTCACATGGACTCCCTTCACAGAGAAGTACAATTTCCTGGGTATCTCCATTGTGGGCCAAAGCAATGAGCGGGGTGACGGAGGCATCTACATCGGCTCCATCATGAAGGGAGGTGCTGTGGCAGCTGACGGACGCATCGAACCAGGGGACATGCTTTTGCAGGTGTGCTGGGGTGGGCTACTGAGCTCATTCAGGCAGGGACCCTTACCTCTCCTACCCTGGCACCCTGCACTGACCCCATTTCCCTTCACTTCCAGGTGAATGACATGAACTTCGAGAACATGAGCAATGATGATGCCGTGCGGGTACTGAGGGACATTGTGCACAAGCCAGGGTAAGCCTCTGAGCTAGTCTCAGTTTCTTGGGCCTCCTGTTTATGCCCTTTTATTTTGTGTTTTGGTAATTCAAGAAGTGGGACGATGTAGCCTTCAAAGGTACTAAGCAAAAATTGAACATAGCAAATAGTTGTAGAGTGACTTCTATGTCACCACTACCTAGGTCTTGGAAAAGAAGGTTGCTGATAGCTCAGAGATGCCCCCAGTCCCTTGTTGTCCCTTCCCATCTCCAACCTCCTCACTCCCATAGGGGTAAACATTACCTTCACTACTTACTTAGTCAAGAAAACTTCCATTTTCCTTGATATTTTTATCACCCGTGCATGAATTTTGTTACAACATGGCTCACTGTTACCTGTTTTGTGCTTGGTGCATATGGGATTATACAGTGTGTAGCCCCTTATTTCACTCTGCAGTGTTATTAAGTTACCCATGTTGGTGAGTCGTCCATGTTATAGAGCCCCCTACCCTCATTTTCTTCATCGCAGCCATGTGTGTGCTCCTCCCTTTCTGTCTCAGAATTCAATCTTGTTCCAGGCCTCAGCCCTTCTGAGCCTCTTCCCTATCCCTCCTTGACTGGCCTTTTCTTCCCCACAGCCCCATTGTGCTGACAGTGGCCAAGTGCTGGGATCCCTCCCCTCAGGCCTACTTCACACTCCCCCGAAGTGAGTAAGACTTAGACTGAGGCCCTAATCCAAGAGAATAGGGGAGCTGGGAGATGGGGCTGGGTCTCTAGGCTATGGGGAATAGGATGGGGAGGATCAGGGGAGAAGAGGAATCAGAATCCAAGTTTGGGATAGAGAGGACTGGCTTTCTGAGATTGAGACATGATCTGTGGCTTGCTTTGTCCAGATGAGCCCATCCAGCCAATTGACCCTGCTGCCTGGGTGTCACACTCAGCTGCACTGACTGGCACTTTCCCAGCCTATCCAGGCTCCTCATCCATGAGCACCATTACGTCTGGATCCTCTTTGCCTGATGGTGACTCCACAGTCCATCCCCATGGAAGGTTGGTTGGCTGGCCATGGGTGGGAGTGGGCCCTGTCCCCTACTTCCATTGTCTTCTTTGTCAGGCTGTGAGGGCCGGGGTCTCTCTATTCATATGGACATGGCATCTGTGACTAAGGCCATGGCAGCTCCAGAATCAGGACTGGAAGTCCGGGACCGCATGTGGCTCAAGATCACCATCCCGAATGCCTTTCTGGGTACCACTGAGCCTGGGCAGGTGGCATGGGAATGGGACGAAGCAACCAAAGCCAAGAGGGGTGAGGGCAGGATTTGGAAGGAGAATCTGAGGCTTTTTTCCACCGATATTAGGCTCGGATGTGGTTGATTGGCTCTACCATCATGTGGAGGGCTTTCCTGAACGACGGGAGGCCCGCAAGTATGCCAGTGGGCTTCTGAAGGCTGGTCTCATCCGACATACTGTGAATAAGATCACCTTCTCTGAGCAGTGCTACTATGTCTTCGGGGACCTCAGTGGCGGCTGTGAGAGTTGTAAGTCCCCATCACAGCTCTGGGAGACAGGCGTGGCCTGCCTTTTCAACCCCAGAACAGACTAGAAATTGCAGTCAAGGTCACTGTGAACAGTGACCAGCAAGATGCGTCCTGCATTGGCTGTGAGTGAGAGCTGACATTCACCCATGTTTTGCTGAACAAGGTATGCACCAGGTGCAGAGCTGTGGCTCCTGGGGACACTTCTTCCCTAGTTTCACAGCAGCATATGGACTAGTGGTGACCTTGGCTGGGACCCTGCCCTAGAATCTGTTGTTTTTTTACCAGAAGCCCTTGTGACATTTGACCCCCATCATGGGTGGCTCTGGAGAAATGATTCCCAGTTCCTCTCCATTCAGTGCCTTAGGTTTTTGACTTCTTAAAACAGTGATTTCTTACTCTCTTCCTTTGTGTTGCAGACCTAGTCAACTTGTCTCTGAATGATAATGATGGCTCTAGCGGGGCTTCAGACCAAGACACCCTGGCTCCTCTGCCTGGAGCGACCCCCTGGCCCCTACTGCCCACCTTTTCCTATCAATACCCAGCCCCGCACCCCTATAGCCCCCAGCCTCCACCCTACCATGAGCTTTCATCCTACACCTATGGTGGGGGCAGTGCCAGCAGCCAGCACAGTGAGGGTAAGTCATTCCCAGATAGCAATACAGCCAAGGTCTGAGTGTATAATGGAGGGGAACCAGGGAGGAGAGGCTGGAACAGGGGCTGGAGAAGCCAGAGGAAGTGGGCTGAGTCTCACTTCCCCCGTCCTCTCTTTCCCCATAGGGAGCCGGAGCAGTGGTTCAACAAGAAGTGATGGGGGGGCTGGACGCACAGGGAGACCTGAGGAACGGGCCCCTGAGTCGAAGTCTGGCAGCGGCAGTGAGTCTGAGCCCTCCAGTCGGGGGGGCAGCCTTCGGCGGGGTGGGGAATCTAGTGGGACTGGTGATATGGGCCCTCCTCCATCTAGAGGCTCAACAGGGGGTACTCCCAATCTTCGAGCCCACCCAGGGCTCCATACCTATGGACCTCCTCCAGGCATGGCTCTTCCCTATAACCCAATGATGGTGGTCATGATGCCCCCACCCCCACCACCTGTTCCTCCAGCAGTGCAACCCCCAGGTGCTCCTCCAGTCAGAGATCTGGGTTCTGTGCCCCCAGAACTAACAGCCAGCCGCCAAAGCTTCCATATGGCCATGGGCAACCCCAGTGAGTTCTTTGTGGATGTGATGTAGAGGGCACCCTGGGGTCATGTTGGGTCTGTACCCTTGGCCTGTCCAGCGTCGGCTTGGGTGTCCCTGTTCTGTGACTTGTCAATCACCACCTTATTGTTCCTTGCAGTGCCTGGGCTCAGCCTACCATTTCATTACCACTGTAACTTTCACCAACAGTGCCTGGTCCTCCCCCTTCCTTCAGGGGTAGACAAGGGACCTTTGGTTATTTTTAGCTTTATTGTTTTTTATAAGCCTTTTGGGGGGTTGAAATAGACTTTTTTACATTTTTGGGAATTTTTTAAATAGACATTTTCTTTTTTGTATGAAGAATCCCTGTCTTCTGGGCCCCTTCTAACCCCAGAATGTGACCTCTTCTTGCAGTTGTCCAGTCAGCTCTGCCCTTTGCAGGGCCAGGGGATGATCAGTGGTATACTGAGAGGAGGAAGGGGGTTGGGCATTCTAGACAGCAGTCCAAGGAAGCTGGGGTATTTGGTATTTGGGGGTTGTGTAGCTGCCTTTGTTATTCTATTTATTTTAGTCACTTGTATAAAACACCAAATAAAGCAATAGAGGCAAACTCCCCACGCCTCTGGCTCCTTTCTTTGGGAGGGAGGCAGGCAGAAGAGGGAAAGAACTGAGATACAGTAGCAAAGCCTGAATTGTTAGAAACTTTATTATTTGTGAGGCAGTTAAGTGCTTTTGAGATCAGGCACAGTCCTGGAAAAACAAGGTCTTCATGGCAGACCAAGGCCCCCAGGAAGGGGGCTTGCTCTCTGGATTGAGAGAAGGCACATAACCAGGCCAGGTCCTGGTTGGGAGTATTCAGAATCCAAGGGGATTGCTGGTGACCACACCACCCCGCTCCACCAAGGCCTTGGAGATGCTTTTGAAGTTACGGAAGAGCTCTTGCTGCCGAGGGTCAGACAGCAGAGCAGTCATGTTCTCTTGGATCCGGGCTGCAGCCTGTGGAGAGGGAAGGAGGGGGTCAGGCCTGTGCCTTGAATGCTCTGCCTACATTGGGTAGTCCAAGACTTACCTCAATACACCAGCTGTCACAGAGCATTTTCTCATGCTGGGCTGTAGGGTRGCCCTCACTCAGGGATCTTGAGGCCCTGGTGAGGAAGCAAGAGAATATAACCCTGGGCTATGATCCTGGCCCAGCCCCACTGTGGCTCATGCCTCCCACCCCACCTCTGCCTCCTCACCTGGAGAGAACCACCACCATGGCATAGAGGTCAATGGCCCCATCTGCCAGACGCTGCAGCACAAACTGCTCATCTGTCAGGTAGATTGGGGTATATGTGGTTAGAGTCTGAGGGAGGGAACAGCAAGGGGAGGGGCGCACAAGACAGAGCTTACTCACTGACAATCCCCTTCTTGTGCTTTATTAGCTTGGCTTCCACCACAGTGGCAAACTGCTCCAGAGCCTGCACTGCCTGAAGAGATGGAGAATGGTCACAGGGCTTGGAAGGGCCATCCCCGTCAGCTCTTGCTTTGTGCTCTGCTCTACTCCTGACCACTCACCAGCTCACCGCTCCGACTCAGCTCTGGGTGGACCACTCCACTGAGACTCAGGCCACTTCCCAGCCCTGCCCGCCTGGGAGGAAGGGGGAGAAAGACTGGTTAGTTCCACAAACCACCTTGCTCTCCCCTGGCCATGGCTCCTGAACTTACCGCCTCAGCTGTTTTCCTGCCTCTCCTAGCAGAAGGCCAGCATTCCCAAAAGGATTCTTTAGGGCACTGCTAAGCCCAGAAAGTTCCTTTCCTTTATCCTGTTGGAGAGGAAGGTCCAGTAGTCAGAACTAACTGTCCTCTCCACCTTCTCTTCCCAATTCTCCTCTCTTACCATACAGCCCTGCAGAGCCACAAAGAGCCGAAGAATGTCGTTTGTCCCCTCAAAGATCCGGAAGATGCGAATATCTCGGAGTACTCGCTCTACCCCAGGCTCCTAGCACAAAGGAAAACACAGAATAAGTCCCTATTGAGATGTGCCTATCCACGCTGCCTGGCTACCCCTTGCAGAGGACCATCCTGTACCTTCATGAAGCCCATGCCCCCCATGATTTGGATGCATTCGTCTGTCACTTTCCAGGCTGCTTCCTAGGGATAAAGAACTAGATGAGATTATCCTGGAGCTGAGGTCTCAAAACTAACTCCCCCCCCTCCCCCAGTCATGCCTGGGTCCTCACCGAGCCAAAGATTTTGCTGATGGCAGCCTCTATCTGGAAGTCTGTGGATCCCTGGTCCATGTTGGCACTCAGCATGTAAGCCATGGACTGAAGTGGAATGGTTGGGATAAGGCAAGGAAAATTGAAAAGCGTTGCGTTAGATTCAMCCTCAACATCCAAATCTTGAAAACTAGGTCTGACAAGCTTCTCATGGCCCTTGCATCCACCTTCCAACTCTAGTCAGGTCAAACACATGTAAATATTTTGCCCTCCAAGCTGATGCATTAGGGGATCCAGGCACTGGACTTCTTGAAAGGGGTGGAAAGTAAAGGGTGGGTTGGGGTTAGAATTGTGCTACCTCAGGGAAGCACCTCAGCAGAGCAGCAGCACTCTACCCCTTCAGAAGCTGAGCTGACTATGCCTCCCCGCATCCCCTAGGGCATTGGTGTAAAGCTGGAGACCCACTGCCCCAGGTGCTGCTGGGGGTTGTAGTCTGACCCGACTGGGAAGAAAACCACAGGGAGAGGGGCACAGGAGGCCCTCACCTCAGTCACATACTGCAGCATAGCCATTCGGGCCAGCTTCTCCTGGATCAGCCCAAAGTTGTAAATTTTGTCCCCAAACTGGGTACGATTAGCAGCATGATCCACCTGGAAGAGGGCACACCTGTCCCACTGTTGTCTGCTGTACCCAGGAGAGGGGTTAGGCTTAAACTGGAGGGACAGATTTTTGCCACAACCAAGAGGTCAATCCACATTGGATGGAGACCTAAGCTAGCAGGTCTGGAGCTGCTGGCAGGGGAGGGATCTCTGGTGTAGGGAGTGCCTTCAAGGGAACAGGGATATGTGGAAAGTGGGACATTGTGATTGATTCAAGCTAGCTAGGAATTCAGGCAGGGTACTCACCGCCTTCGCAATGATGGCTTTCATGGTGCCTGCAAGGGTTGCAGCCATGCCAAACCTTCCATTGTTGAGGATATGCACAGCAACCTTGAAGCCTCCCCCTACCTCCCCCAGCACATTTTCTGATGGCACCTGTACTCCATCAAAGTACACCTCTGCTGTGTTTGAGGCTTTGATGCCCATCTTCTTTTCAGGGGGCCCACTGTAACAAGGCAGGAAAGCTGAGGTGTAAACAGGTTTCTATAGGGGAAAAGGCCTCTCCATTCCTTAGAACCAGAAGAAACTGCAATTCATAGATTAAAGGTACAGGTAATATTGCTTGCATGTCATATGGGTTACAGAGGTCTAGCTGTGTTCTGCTATCCTGTTGGGACTTGGTTGCTGAAGCCAAAGTTTTAGGTCAGTTCCATACACATATATATGCCTGAAAGAGAATGGTGATGCCCACCCTGCTATGGCTTTTGCACACCCCCCAGATGACTTACAATATCTGTTTGCTCTGGAGCCCAGTGGTGCTCCCAGCCCTTGGTCCTACCACTTCCTCCCCAAATCCACTTACTGGGTTACACCTCCAAAGCTCCTCTCCACCACAAAAGCTGTGATCTTCTCCTTTACAGCCCCTGTGGCTGCATCTGTAACTGGTGTCTTGGCAAAAACTGTGAAAATATCTGCGAGGCCCCCATTACTGTGGGAGAATGAGGGGGTGGTGGTCAGAGTGGGGAGAGCTCAGAGCAGTGGGGAGTAGAATTGGGCTGAGAAGAAGTAGGTAGGAATAGGAGATTGCCTGATCCAAATCTTGCTTCCATTTAGGGTATAATATTTTCCACAGGGGCTGGGGACAGCAGAGCTTCGGATGGAAGCTGCATCTGATCCACTTGAGGGCTCCGTTAGACAGAAAGCAGCCAAAGTCTCCCCTGTTGGGTAGAGYGCCCTTTTACCAGAGGTCCTCATGGGCATCAAATTCCCCTTGGTCCTCTTTCCCATCCCCTCAGGCAGCTCAATACCCTAGCTATATTCAGTTTCTCTGCATTTTCCCATCAACATACCGTGGTGCCTCCCCAGGATCTCCTGAGTGATGTACCTAGCTTTGTAGTGATCTAAATACCAACTGGCCTAGTTTGTGCCAAGCCCAGGACACTCTTAATCCAAATCTTAAGATTKTCTTACCAGATGCCACTTTAGGGAGGTATTTTTCTTTCTGAGCCTTTGTGCCAAAGAGTAGGATGCCTTTGAAACCGATGCTCTGATGAGCCCCCAGGGTAACACCCACGCCAAGGTCATGCATGCCCACGATCTCTGCCAAACGAGCATACTGGAGAGGAAGCAGGCATCTGGGGCTGTAACTGGCTGCATGGGGACCTGCCCTTAAGAGAGTATGGGCAACAGGGCAGGGCCTAGGCCATTTTCCAGAGTGAAGAAGGGAACTTGGATCATGAAGAGGGTACAATAGGATGCTTTTTGTCCTAGGTCTTGATGGGAGGGAGGCTTCCTACAATCCTATCAGAAGATGCTACCTTGTCAGGCAGTCCCCAAGAATGAAGGGTGAATTCCATGGTCCTAGGGGACTGCATGTAGATTGTATTGTTTGGAGGACTGGGTTGCATACATGGCTGTAAGAGTCACATTCCCACAGGCCCCCAGGGCAGTTGCTTGGAAGGGACTTCGGCTTTAGGGGTGAGGAAGCCAGGCTGGAGTAGGGTGGGATATTGAGAAATAATGAGAAGGCTTCCCTCACCTGGGTGTTGCAGAGGCCCACACCACCCAGCTCACTGGGCACTTGCAGACCAAAGGCCCCCAACTCCTTGAGACCCTGCAAAGTAGTTTCCTCCACCCTCTCTAGAGTATCATTCTTCGCTGGATCATTCACCTCCTGGGAAAGGGACAAGATTCTAAGTCCAGGCTTGCTTCCTTTAAGCTTTTTAGCATTTCTGCCCACCCCATTAGAGACAGTGCCCCAGTCATTCTTCACCTCGAAGAAACGGGCCACAGGCCCCACCAGCTCTTTGAGAAACTGTGTCTGCTCTTCATTGAGTACTGCAGAGATGGGGAGGGGAAAGACAGGTCAGTCAGGCGAGTTGGGTCAGGCGAGTTTGGTGTGAGACTGCCCTGTCCCACCCGGTGTTGACTACTCCTTCCCTTACCGGATGGGTATGGGAACACCTGATCAATGGTGAGCTGGCCTTTGAACATCCCCACAGCAAAGGACTTAGATTCCTGGGCAGGGAGAAGAGGATTTCAGGGAACTGATTGGAATAGGCCTATCCCTGGCTTAGGTAGCCCCCCGCCCTCAGGCCACATACCGCCTTGGTMGGTTTTTCCCTAGTGGAAGCATCAGAGGATAGGGAATCTGACTTGTCCAGAACAGCCTGGGGAAAGGAGTGGTTAGCTAGGCCGGGGAAGGGGTTTCTATTGTGTCAAAGAGGGGACTGGGGAAGAGCTGGTTGTGGGGGTTGGGTGGACCTGGTGCCTTTCCCCTAGTTTCACCCCAGAACACCCTGGCTTGCCCTTTCCCCTACTTTCGGAGTTAGAGCTGTCAGCAGGTGACTGGGACGAAGAGGGTGACCCCTGCTGGTGGCAGGGTGGTCAGAGCCTAGTCGCAACCCTACTCCCACACCCCTTCCCAAGGGCTGCTGTCACTTACCTGGGCGGCTCCACTGGCATAGGGTCGCTGAGCAGTGCTAGGCCGGGGCGGTCCCTGAAGTACACTGGGCCACAAGCTGTAGGGAGAGGGGGTTCAGTCTTGGTCTGGTCCCATGGCAACCGTCCCCAGTCCCCGTCCCTCCTGTCATACACAGACCTTCGACTCCCCAACCTCAGCAGCTGCCGCCCTATGCTCGGAGTCATCCGAGACGTCTGCATGTCCAATCCGCTCCGGCCGCCACTGTTTGGAGCGCTGACCTCGGTCTCTCGTCCCGCCTGCCCAAGTCTGGGTGCCCGGTCCCTGACTCATCCTCCACAATGCACCGCGCGGTGGTAGGCGGGGCTTCCGGGCGCCCTGTCATCTTGGGAGTTGTAGTTTCAGGGCGATCCCAGGCGCCTGAATTCTGGCTGACCTGGAGTGATCTCCAAGTGTCCCTTGACTTCCCCTAGTCCCTTCATCTCGCCTATCCGAACTAGAATATAGTCTTCTGAAGAGGTGATGGAATAGAACGCTTAGGCAACTGTAGCCAGAGGAATGGAGGTAGACTGGAGGGAGCACTTCCCAGGTGGAGTTAGAAAGCAGGGACTGGGGTTGTAGCTCAGTGGTACAGCACTTGCTTAGCATGTATAAGGCTCTGGGTTCGATTCTTAGCACCGCATATAAATAAATAAAATAAAGCTTCATTGACAACAACAAAAAGAAGAAAAAGAGGTGAGAAAAGTGAAAGGTGTGAGGTAGGTAGAGTCAGAGACATAGAAAGATGACTCTTTGGGGTCCTTGTGAAATCTGAATGGAGGATAATGGTGGAGAGGGAGGAACTCAAGCTGGGAATGTGTTCCATGCAAATTTTCCTGAGACCGAGGAGGTGTCACTGATTTTCAAAACTCCTGATTTCATTGCCTCTCCCCTTCCTGCCTCTGAGAGAGAGTTTCCTTGTCATTTCTCTGCCATGTGCCCACGTTAGACCTCTGGACAAATGGATTCTTCCCAGACCTAAGAGGGACTGTAGAAATTCTCTTGCTCTCATGTCCCCTCCTCAAACTTCTCTGGCTCAAGAAGTCCCAAGAAATATATACCCCTCTATATATACCCCTCTTTCTTCGATTCTCACTGGAAGGGAGAGAGGCCTAGGAAGGAGAGAGCTGGGTTCAGCTTCCTTTCTTTTTGAGCTGTTGGAGCCTTTGTGGGAAAGAACCTCTTTTTGACCCCTTAGGAAAGTGTAACTTATTGTGCCTGGTTTTGGGGAGGGGGGGAGGGAGGGGAGCAAGGTGATTCCTGGAGCCTTAAGGAGGAATGGGACAGTCCATTTAGAGACTGCCTACTTTGCTTAACAGCTAGAATTGGGTGGGGACAAGGCAGCTCAACCCCAATCCAGGCGGATTAGGGAGATTAAAGTGAGAGAAGAGAGAGATGTCTCAGAGACCAAGAGGTGAAAAATAGGGATCGCTGTGGAGGGGAGGCCTGGGAGCATAGTGGGGGGGGCTGGGACTCAGGGATCTTTATCTATCCCTGAATCTTTTCATAGAAAAGTCTGGAGAAATTAAGGTGACAGTGTTAGTCTCTTTCTGATCTCAATCCTCCATCACTTGCTTTTTACCAGCTCCCAGGTCAGCCCTCTGGCTCCTGGCCCCTCCACTACTTCGTTGGGCACCCCCCCTCCTCACAGTACTGCATAGTGACCTATTCCAGGCCTTGCTGGGTGAGTAGCCTCAATTTTCTGAGGGAACACAGTGGAAAGGGCTAGCCTGGGCCTGTGAGGCCAAGTACTGAACCTTGGGGCTGGTTGGAGCCTAGACAGCATTTAGTCCAAGCTGGAGCCCCACGCAGGGTCATCCCCAAGTAGTTCTCCATCAGGATCAACCGGCCTTGGCTGAAGGACCTCCTCCCTTGCAAGACAAACAGCAGTGATGGTGGCAGGGGTGTCTGGGGAAGCCTGGGGTGGGGGAGGATAACTCATTTCTGCTCCTGTGACAGACATCCTGGACTATTATGAAGCTTCCATCTCAGAGAGTCAGGTAAGGAGGTGGGGGTGGGTGCCTGTCTTCCTGAGGGAGCACGCAGGGCTGGAGTGGGGAGCAAAGTCTTGCCAATATTAAACTGAGATTTGGGGGCCCTGTTGACAGCATCCTGAGTCAGTGGCACAGAGGTTGGGGGCACTGAGAATGCACTTTCTGCAGTTGGTCCTGTAGCTCTTCTTCTTTTCTCTTCTCCCTTTTCTTTGCCTGCCCCAATTTCAGGCACTAGAGTCCAGGACATAATTACTTTTCAGGCTTCCTCCTGTGAATCTGAGGAAGCACTAGGCCCCCAGGAATTCCCTCCTGCCAGCCCCTCCCTCACACCCTACCCCCTGCCACGGCTTCCCTCCAGTATTTAAACAACCACAGTGCTCCCAGCCTAACCGTGGGAGCTTCCTCCTCTAACAAATGAAATCTATCCTCATGGTCTTTGCTTTCATCATTGGAAACTGGCCAGGTCTCCATGTTTGCCTTAGGGCCTCTTTGCTTCTGCTTCTATCTCCTTTCCCATTATCCGGGTTCCTGCCAGCACCGAAGGAGTTAACTCTGCCAAGGCACCCCCCCATTCTGGCTCCAAGCTCCCTCCCTCCCTCCCCCTGCTTCCTCTCTCCTCCTCTCTCCCCTTCCCTCCTCGGCTCCACGGCTCCCTCGGCCGCTGCCGTCTCCAACCCCCCCACCCCACTCCCCCGCCACGGCCCCTAGCCCCTGGCCGTTTGGCAAAACCCCCCCCTGCCGCGGGGCTCCCCGAAATCCAGTTCCCCTCCCCCATCCCAGCTCATGCCCCAGCCCCCGAACCTCGGGGCTACCAGCCCCCGGTGCCCCCGCCCCTCCTGAGAATCGGGGTGTGCTCCCCAAGCCCCCTCCCCTCCACTGGGGAGCCCCTTTTAGGGCACCCTTCCTCTCCCTCCCACGCTCCCCTACCCTTCCCTTCTCCAACCCCCTCCTTCCCCTCTCACCCCTCCCCCCATCCTGGCCCCCCCTGCAAAAGTGGGGTGCGGAGGGGGGAGGGGTGAGAACCCACCAAGGGGAGGAACGAAACTCCAATGAAGTCAGAGCCCCTTACCCGCCGCCGCGGCCAGGCCCCCCAACATGGACTGTCTCTGTATAGTGACAACCAAGGTAAGCATGATGGGGGGGGCTACAAACTGGAGGGAGCATGTGAATATGTGGGGAGGGGTCAGGCAGGCCTTATCTGGCACTGAGGCCCTGGAGTGAGAACATCAGAAGTAAGATGTATTGGGGGTCATAATTTAGTTTGGGGGTTCACATACGAGAAAACCCTGGATTTGGCCACAGGTGCCCCCTGGAGTGATCCATTTGTACCTGTAGATAAATGAAAATTTGGGGGTATTCCACAGTTTCAGGGTCCCAAGGGTTTGGGGGTTCACTAGCGATGTTTGAGGGCAACTTATTTAAGGAGAAGCCTGGCTCACATGGGAGTCCTCTTGTATGTGGCAAGGTGGGCTATGTGTGTGGGGGGCTTCTTTTCCCTCCTGGGGGAAAAGCTGGCTTCCAGGTGGCTTGTCCAGTTTGAGGGGCTCTTGGCAGGAGGCTAAAGGTTATTGGTTGTGAGTGCCTGACTGGACTGGGGGTGTCAGCTGGCAGGGAAGGGGTGGGCCTTCAGGCTATAGAACAAGCGTCTCATGGTATATACGTTTGGGGGTGCTCTCTTGATTTGAGGGAACTGTTAAGTTGGGGTTCAGTCATATGGAACGGAGATAACTGGGAGTTGTCCGAAGGCTGAGGCCTGACACAGAATCACCTGAGGGAATGGGCCAGGTGAGGTTAGGACTTGGGGTTCTCCCTTGGGAGCTAGAAGGTTGCAGCAGCTGAGATTGCCAGCTTCTGTGAAGGAGGAGGAGAGGTTTGGGGAGGGGATTTGGAAAGGGGGACCTGATGGGTGGTGCAAAATTTGAGGGTTTCCCGAGCAGGTGCCCAAATATCCCCATCTCCTCCCACACTGCTTTTAGCCCTGCTCAAGAAAGAGGGAGAAGAGCAGATGGAGGGGACTGTTACCCCTGATGCTTGGGATCAAGGTGGGGGAGAACACCTGGATTTAAGGTCCTTGAGGACTTATGACTGAGGTTAGTGGTGTGAAGAGGCTAGTAGGATGAAGGCGTAGGAAGAGGGCAAGGCTGGCAGCAGTGGGGTTCCCTACAAGGGTGTCCCCATGGTTAGAGCCTGGAAAGGGTGATTTTGGATGGGTATTGCAAGCAAGCTCCTGGTGGGATGCAGAATACCTAGGTCTTTTCTTCCAGACTCTGGGACTGGAAAGCTGGATGCCTGGTGTATGGAGGGATGCTTGGGCGGGTGGCAGGCAGCTGGGGGTTGGGGGGTGGGACAGGAAGTGGGGGCCGGGGGAGGCGGGGTCTGGGTGAGTCACAGGCTGGGGAGGGGGTTATATTTAGTGAGAACTGCAGCTTCTCATGGGAGGGAGCTGAGGACACACATGTTCCTTGCCACAAACTCACACATGTGTGTACACATGCATTGTGCACGTGTGAGCATGACTGGAAGAGACTGAGGGCTAAGGACCTTTAGGCCCAGATCTCTACTCTTCACCAGGACTACTTGTCTCCCAATCTGTGGGCTTTGGGCTTTCTTCCTGGTTGATTTTTGTGCCTCAGTTTCCCTGTTCTGGTTTCTTTCAATGTCTGTGACTGGATGCTCCTCCTGTCTCCTGCCCTGCAGCCTGCTCCCTGGCCTTGGCTCCCTAGCTATGGTCCCTTGTGTACAGGTATATACAGCAGGCTGGTTGGAATGTGTGGGTTCTGCTTCCAACACACAAACACATTAATATGAGCAAGGATGAGGGGCTTGCCTGCCCTGGAGCCTGTTCTGGGTGGGTGGATGGGGGTTATTTATTCTCCCCTCCAGACTTCTACCTCTTTGATGGAGTGCAGGATTGAGCATCCTYGAAGGAAGGAGGTTTGCAGAAAGCATTTGGGGGTTTTACTGAGGCATAGAGACATAGGCTTGCCACATTCCTTGGCCGCAAAACTTGAGTCTCGGGATGGCGAAGACTTCAACTCCCATAAGACCCTGAGGCACAAGATCACTCAGTGTTAGAGTGTTGCTGCCCTTAGGACTGTTGGGAGTTGTGGTTTATCTCTATCCAGGGCAACGGAGGGTAACCCAGGAGCAACCAGCAGGGGGCACATGGCTCCGGGCCCCCCCCCCCGAAAATGCTAGATAGGGAATGATCAGACTTTGTGGTCGTTGAGCTCCCCACTTCGGTCTTGATGGCCTTTCCATCTTTCATCGCCTATATTTATAGACTCCTTCCGCATTAATTTAAGGAGCATTATTGAACGCCACTTTGTGCTAGGCCCTTTGTGCAAACTGTTTTACAGCTATCACTTAGTCTTACTCGTTACCTTTATCTCTGCCAGTATCTCTGTCTCTGAGCATCTCTTTCTCCCACTCCGCCCCCGTCCCTCCCCCTTCTCCCCGCGCTGCTGCCGCCGTTGCCATGGTAACCGTCGACGACTGAAGTTGCGTGGCAGACTTGAGGGCCGGGCGAGGGTGGTGGAGGGCGGAGCAGAATAAGTGGGGGGTGGGAATAAAGTGGGGAAAAGACGAGGGGTTTTTGGCCAGGATCCCGGAGGCGAAGCGGTTAAACCCTCTGGGTGGTCCTTATTGGGCAAAGTTAAGATGTCGGGGGCGGGGCAGTGTGGCCAACCGCCTCATTCATTGGCCGACATGGGCGTGGCGGAAGGACAGTGTGGGCGAGGCCGGGGGAGCGAATGGGCGGGAAGTGGACGGAGGCGTGGTCTCTAGGAGGCAGGTGGGTGGGGTCTGGCTTACTCTCAGAGGAGGCGGGCAACAACCCTTGGAAAGGGGAGGGGCTGGATTACCTGACCGAAATGAGGGCGGGGCTGACCCAGGAGAGGCGTGGCGTGGTCCCCTGCGCCGAAAGGAGACCAGATTTAAGGGGCAGTTGTCCGCGAACTGCAGGACTCTGGGGTCTTTGGAAAAGAGAATCCGAGGGTTGGGAGGTCTGACGTCTCAATTTTCCCAAGATGGAGACCTATTCAGATTTCATCACAGCACCCCTCCTACCTCAGCTCTCTGTTCCAGGGAGACGGTTGCTAGGCGACACCAAAGTCCTTGATTGCTGTGTTGCCAGGCAACGGGGAAACGGAAAATGGAGGGAAAAAGGAAATGGGGGATGGGAGAGGGTCTTAATGGGRTATAGCGCCCACTAGTGGAGAAGAAGGGCCTGTACATTTTCTGTTCTAGAAAAAAATTTTAAGAGTCAAGCATTTTGTTCTATCCAGATATGAAACTAGGACATTGGGGGTCATTTTGGGGGCGCATCTATCAGATKCCAATGGGTGAGGTTCTAGGGAAATCGACATTTCTGCCATGGGTGGGCATTTTATAGAAGGCAGATAACCCATTTGAGGAGACCCCTTACTGGGATTTCAGAACTGGAAAGGTGGGTGTTCAATGGGAGAATAATTTGAAGATAGCCTTTCAATTTCAGTTGTTTGGGAGAAAATGGAAGCCTCTGAAGAAACCTGAGTCAATTCGTTTGAGATGTTCTGGAAGATTTGTGGGTCACAGCAAATTGCAGTCCAGATCTTACTTTGGTGACTATTATTTGAGTCTTGAGTGTATATATTTGTGAGTGATTTTCCAACAAAACAGGAATTCAGAATCATGGAGGGAATGTTGAGATGTAGGGAGTGAGTCAGAGTAAATTATGAATTTGAGGGGTAAAGAAAAGGATAGAGAAATACCTCCTTAACATAGGGTTTGGAAATAAATTGAGAAGATTGTAGTTGAATTGGGAGGGCCTGCCTTAAGGTGGATTAAATATCTCATGAAATTAGGTTCTTGTGGGGGATTGGTGTATTAGAAAGTCCTGAGTATCATTAGATTCCGCAATTTGGACAGGGTATCCCCCCAAATTGGTAGGCTCCTCATTTGGATATTTATATTAGAACAAGGGTAAGAATTGCACTAATTTCAAGTTTTCTATTAATGAATCGAGGGACAGATATGATTTAGAAAGGGATGATATAGGGGTATATTAAGTTGAAGGCACAGCGAGGATCCGTGTGGTCTTTTAAACTCTTGAAGAAGCATTGTCTGGTTATCAGGTAGGGCTGGACTTCAGGGGAGACCTATGCCTATTAGAGTAGGAGATGTCTTGGGAGGGGATGCTGTTCATAGTAACAGTCTTAAGGTGGGGGCTGTTGGGAGAGGCATTTTTGATCCCTTAGGAATTCTTTTAAGTGAAGGAGAACTATTCAGTGAATGGTTAGGGGCCTGGTGATTTGGGCATGGGGCATTAGATGAGATAAGGGGTCCCTGAGAACCAGACAGATAAATTGGGGAGTCTATTTGTAGTAGTCAGGATAGGAATATACTATGTAAGGTGAGGTCCACAGACAAATAGCTGGGACCAGGGAAGTTGGTGGCTAAGAGGGTCTCCCCTCACCCTTCTCTCCCATCGTGACGCTTTCCCGTACTGCGCAGGCGCCGCCCCCCCCCCCCCCCCCCCGCCGCAGCCTCCTGTCGCCACGGCCGCCGCAGCCCCCGCCCCTCTGCCCCTCCCCCTTTCCCAACCCGGGACCCTTGATATCCCACCCGCCCCCTTCCCTCAGTTCCCCTCCCCTCCTCCATGTCGGCTCGGAACAGATTCGCCTCCATGTGTCTCTGCGTGGTACGTGCCGCGGTACGGGATCCGGCCCCGCTCCCCTCTTCCCGGACCCCCCAAATCTCAGGGTGTGAGCTTCAAGTGCTGTCGCTTTTGCCTCTGCTTGGCTCGGGGTCTCTGCGTTGCAACTTCCTGGGGACAAGCACAGTGGGTCGCCCCTCTTATCCTCCACTAACTCACATCCTTGTTTTGGGGTACAAGCCTTAGTTCCAGGTCATTCGTGAAACTGGGGCTTTGGCGGGGGGTGGGCAAGAGGGAAGGAACAACAGCGAGCCCGTCTATGTCCCTCCAGGCTTTTCACTTGTGTCAAACCCTAATATGTTGGTAGTGCAGACTTATTCCATCCAATATTATCTGAGCTGTCACTGCTCAAGGCCCTAAGTCCCAGTGGGCTAAAGGGGCATTGGGGGGGGGGTGTCCTCCTTCCTGTCCTGCTTTAGTTGCCCCAATCCAGGACTGAGAAGTGCTGACAACCCCATCCTTCAGTTTTCAGTTTCAGAATTTCTGGTCCCCACCCTCATCCCTCCAGACCTTTCCCCCTTTATTTTCCCCCTCACTACATATACATTGAAAATTTCCAGGGGCTGTACATAGGGCCTAACCTCCTCCAACCACATTTTGGGACCTTCAGTTCTTCATTCTATGTTCCTCATTTTTCTCCTGTTACCTATGAGTCCCCAGAAGCCTTTTCCTCAGTGTTAGACACTCCCCTCTCCCATGGGGATGGGGCAGGGAGAGATGTCTGGGGTCTCACTGTGATAAAGTTTACCTTCATTTCCTCTCTAGAATAAACCATGAAATGTCTCTCTTCATGCTTCCATTTTCTTTGGTGCACTGACATTTCTTCATCAGATTCAGGAATTTTCTTTGTGAAGGGGGTGAAGATGGAGGGACATTGGGCTTAAACCCTCCCAGACTCCAAAACTTGGAACTACAAGTTTTATTCTAATTTATTTTGCAGGAAATTGGGGGCCTTACAAAGTGAGAAGAGAGACTTGTTTCCCTCCATTTCTCCCAGACCCTACAATTCCAGGGCATTGTCCCTCGGCTTGCACATTGTCCAGGCTGAAGACCACCTTCTCAGGATATGGAATGAACAACCTCTTTCAGTTCATAGTGCTGTTACCCAAGACAGCTCAGCCCTTGAGGAGGGCTGTTTTGCATACTATTYCTACTTTCCTTCTCTACTTTTTGTGCCCATGGTATTAACCCCTGAAGTTTTGGATTCTCTCTTCACATCCATGGCTCAGACTTGGTGATCCCCTATTTCCCTTCTTTAAAACTCTTCAAACATATCCAGGTGCTTCTTAATTCTAGTTGCTTCTGTGTCCTGAGTTGAGAATCTTTATGTTGACAGGACCATTTCCCTCCTCTAGTTCTCTTACTTCATTCACCCTTAGTCTACAACAGTGTTGGATTATATCCTCAGCCTTGGTACATCATCCTAACTTCCAGAATCATATTCATCATATACCAGGCATAGTACTTGATAAGTTTCTTCCTATTTGATCTTGCAATTATTTCCCTTCAAATGATGGGGTACTCTCAGCTTTTCAGAAAAAATTGAGAGGGAAATTCTACCCCCTTTTCTCATGAATACTAGTAGCTGTATGCTGTCTTTTTTAGTCCCTGAGAGATCCCTGCATCTGGTACCCTCTGCCTGCTTCCCTGAACCTGGAGTCTGGACCCTTCTACTGTGGGGGTCAACTCCTGAGTAGCACAGGTGGACAGAGGCAGCTGTAAAAGGAGCCAGACAGAATTGTCCTTCAGTGCTGCCTTCATCTGCCCTTTTCCTCTCTCTCTGCCCCCAGTTAATCTCATTTACTGGTGTTCCTATGAAGCTAGTACTGGAGGCCCTTGAGGTAGCAGCTGGTTAATTGGGTAGGGAGTCAGGAGACATGTTGGATCTTTTACCCCAAAAGGCCAGAGGAAGACCTGAATTCACTGTAAGGTTCAGCATGCTACCTTCTTCCCCAGTTAGGGACCTGGCACTCATTTCTGTCCCCTTCTGAGCCCTACTGCCTTTGTTCCTCCCCTTCCTCCCCCATCACATCCCTTTCTAGTACATCCGGATTAGCTGGCTGGGCTGTGGACTACTATAAGGTTGCAGCTAGCTCTGGGGTCCCTTTGCTGACTACTTGGGAACTAGTGAAGCCCTTGAAGGAAGAGTGAGACAGACTTGGCTTTGTCCTTCCTGGGGGCTGATGCCAAATACCTTCTAGTTGAAGAGGCTGACTTTGGTCCCTGCTTCATGCATGCAAGGTGCTGGAAAACCCATTGCTCATGGGGTAGAGGTTGCAATGGGGAGACTGAGATGATGAAGGCGAGGTGCAAAGCAGGAGCAGCAAGTGGAGCATGGGAGGGGGAGTCTATAACATGGGAGTGGGATTTAGATGATTAGGGAAGCAAAGAAGTTGGGGGATGGGATGTGGAGAATAGAAGTATCAGGGTTCAGGGGCAAGAGTTTTTGAAGGATGGAGGGAAGAAGGCCTGGAAAAGGGGTGAAGACACTGATGCCCAAGGAAGGGGATGCTGGGTAGAAGGCCAAGGCCCGGGGATGTGAGGAGCAGGAGTTGGGGGATGGAGCTGGAATTTGGGGAGAGAGGAGAGGTGCTGAGGCCCTGGCGGGAGAGGGGGCTGTCGGGAGGGTGGAGAGAGGGGAGCCAATGGGCTGGAGGAGAGGGAGGGGGAGGAGCTGGTCAGGCCCCAGGGCCTTCCGCACTGCACTGGCTGGGGGAAGAGGAGGCGGCTGGGGCCGGCGGCCTGGAGCCTGAGGCACTGGGCCGGCCCAGTGACGTCTCGGTCCCCATCCCCAGAAATACCGCTACCAAGATGAAGACACGCCCCCTCTGGAGCACAGCCCGGCCCACCTCCCCAACCAGGTAAACGCCCCCGAGCTGGTGCACGTGGCGGAGAGGAACTTGTCCCACCTCGAGGCCGTCCACGGGGTCGTGGGCCACGCCCACCTCTCCCCCCTCAAGGTAGGAGACCCTGGCGGCCCCCTCCCCCGTGCGGCCCTCGGAGCCTCGGAGCTGCAGCAACCCCCWTGGGCCGGTAGGGCAAGAGCTGTGGGGAAAGGTTGGGTCTGGGGTGGGGCATTTGGGGCTTGGGCTCCTGGGGCCTGGGGGAGGGGGCGTTGGGGGGGGCTGGAAACACGTTGGTCCCACGAGGAGAAACAGGTCAGGCAAGTGGGAGTGGGTCCGGAGCCTGAGGCGCTTGTGTGTTTCTCTCTGAGTGTGCCTGAGTGTGTCTGAGCGCTACGTGCTGTGTGCGCATGTTGAGACATCTGCATCCCCCTGGAGGCCCCCTGCACCAGGGCCCTCTTCATTCCTTCACACCCCCAACCTCCGGTTGCTTCCTGTGTTTTCTGTGTCCAGAGCTCTGTTCCAAGCGCCTGCTGCCCTCATTTGCTCCTGTCCCTTCCCGCCTCCTCCCCCACCTCTGCCTCTGGGCCTGCTCTCCCTGTCCCTGAGTCTCCAGCCCTTTCCATCTGTCTGGCCTGAGACTTCACCACGTCGTCGTCGTGGGGCCTTTTTGCCTCTTCCTCTACCCCAGTCTTTGCTCTCCTCCTGTTCTTCCTCCCCCTCCACCGCTTTTTCCTCCCTGCTGGCTGGCTGGCTGGTTCTTGATGCTGTCTCTCTCTTCCTCCCACGCATCTCCTTCCCCCCCTTGCTGATCCCCAGCTCAGGCCTCTGCGGCCTGATCAGTCTTCTCCTTGGTCAGCCAGCTCCCTATTTCTCAGTTTCACCTTCCCTGTTCCTCTCTTCTTGGGCTCATCTCCACCCATATCTTCTTTCTTTCCCCCTTATTATTCATTACCACCTGTTTCCCCTTTCCCTCCTTCTCTGCTCAGTGTGCTTTCCCTTCTTCAGTCCTGGGAGGCCTTGTTTCTGAAACCTTCTATTTTCCAGTCCACTTTCCATCTTCTTCCCCCTCAGTCTCCTTTTCTGGGACACAGGATGGGGAGGAATGGAGAGCACAGGCAAGCTGTGAGATTGAGGACAACGAGGGTCAGTGGTGTGGAAGCCCCAGGAAGGGGGAGATTGCTGATGTTTCATCACGAAATGGGGAGGAAGTTTCTGAGCTAAAGGGATGAGGAAAGGAGAGTCCCCTAAGCTTGGGATTAGAAGTGGCAGGAGAGGTGTTGAATGGGGGTGGGAAGAGGACATAGGGATGAAACTGTGGAATCGGAGCAGTGGATTGAGTGGGTCCAGAGAAAAGAAAGTGAGGCCCTGGAAATGGGGATGATGCTCAGCATTTGTGTGCAATTCTGACTGCAAGGCCTGTGCAATGCCTTTTACAAGATGGGGCCATTAAGTAGTTATTGAGGAGGAAGACAGAGAAGGGAAGTTTAAGGGGTAGTAGGTAATAAGGTGCCAGGGAGTGTTGGGATCAGAGCTCAGGAAGCAAATGGGAGTGGAGGGAGGGTGCTGGAGGCCACAAGTGATGCTGGAGGACATCTCAGGACAAGGCCTCAGTTGTAGGACAGGAGATGTCCCAATCTTCAGATGGGTAGTGGGTTGAGAAGTGAAGGGGTGATTTGGAGATAGAATATTGAGGGTTTGAATATGGGGTAACATTTGATTCCCTCTCTGAGAATCAAATTAGGATGGAGGGTAAGGACAGGAGATCCATAAAGTATAGGGCAGGGGTCTGAAAATGGAAGTGGATAGAGAATGGAGGCTGGGGTTGTAGGATAGAAACTGAAGGGTGGGTACAAGGATCTAGATGGAGGGTGTTGGATGAATGTAATCTTGGATGAAGGATGGGGCATCAGGGAGGGTCTAGGWTAGGAATGGGATGAACATGTGGATAAGATTTCAGCAGTCTGTGGCTGTTGGCTAGACAACAGTGTTTGCTGCGGTTGGGAGGATGGCGGTAGTAGATTTATGGATGTGAAATCTAGGGTAGAGCCTGAAAATGGCCGGCAGTTTCTAGAATTGAGAAATAGAAGTAAAAAAGAGGAGGGCCTCTTTGGAGGGGGAAAGTGGGAAGGAGACTAGGAGAATCCTTTAGCTTGTTTAAGCTAATCTATTTAAGGAGGAAATAGGTTGGGGACCCCGGAAGGAGGCTCTTGGCCGCCTTCCTCCATTGCCATAGAGACATGGCTTTGGTTGCCCTGGCAATTGGGGAAGCCCCTAGGACCGGCCTGAAGTTGGCCCCGCCTGGGAGTCCAGAGACCTGGCCGCCTGACGTCAAAGACCTGGGAACGCCTAACTTTAACCCTTTCCTTAATGAAGGCGAGGGGGAGGGAGTAGATGTGCAGGCTAGGACCCGGATGTCTTTCACCACTCCCTGTTYCTGACGTTTCTTTGCGCTGCGTAGGGTGAGGGGCGCTGGGGAGACTGGAAGGCAGGTTACTCAGAATGTGCTGTGCCCACGAACCTCTTCGACCTGGCCTCCTCTCGGCCCGGCTAGTGGGGGGCGGGGCCCAGGCCGGGAAAGGTGGGGCTRGTGGAGTCCTGTCGCGCTCAGGCCTCTGGACGACCCTAGGCCACGCCCATCTCCCCCGCCTGCTGTCCTGACGACAGGGCCTCCTGGAGGTGGGTCTCCCCAGGTCCTGACTGGGCTTAGATACCGTTGCTAGGCAACAAGGTCCCTGGAGAAAGGCGTGGATTGGATGGCGGGTGGGTGAGAGAGAGGGAGGGGCCTGCAGCTGGGGAAATCCCGGATTCCCTGGGCGCTGGGTTTAGGGCAAGTGTATGCGAAGGTGAGGGACAAATCTGGGGGTGCATTATAAAAATGTGGGGGGATAATGACAGGGAGCAGGCAGGAAGCGGGTGATCAGGACCTGGTGGACCCGAGCCCTGGGGTGTATGTGTGTAGCACATAAGGCATGTAACACCCGTGGTGTTACATCCGGTGAGAAGCTCCCTTCCCCCCAACCCCCCCCCCCCACTCTTTACCATCTGCTGCTCCCCTCTCCGTCTGGCTGTCTCTCCCTTCTCATTTCTCATACACTTCCTTCCACTTGCAGGGGACCTGAGCTCAGCAGAGTTGAATCCATGCACATGTGTATCTGTGTGTGTGTGTGTGTGTGTGTGTGTATGAAATGTGGGCTGAGCCTGGGTCCTTGAAGAGCCCCTAAGGATGGCAGAGTGGGGCTTGGTGAAGTAGCTGAAAGGGGAGCTAGGCTGATGGGACCCATCCTTGGTTATGGGCTCCCTCTTGAGCCAAGGCTGAGTCAGCTTTTCTTTTCCTGTCTTCCCTCACAGGCCAATTCTCCCCCAGTGATTGTCAACACAGATACCCTAGAAGCCCCAGGATATGTGAGTTGTTTAGATTTTGGGGTAGGGACCATTGCAGAAGGAGGGAGGGAGGGAGGGATGGAGGACCTAAGTCCCTGCATGAGGAGGGAGGGCTAGGTTCTCAGGCTGGAATGTCCATCTCACTGTTTTTGTGTTTCTGTCCCATGTTGGAGTTGCAGGTGAACGGAACCGAGGGGGAGATGGAATACGAGGAGATCACATTGGAAAGGGTGAGCCAGCTCCTCCTTTCAAGTTCCTCTTGTTTCCCTGCCTGTGTCTCTGTGCCCATGTTTTCTAGGTGGCCTTCCCTTTAACCATGTCCCTTAGTGCTCTGGCTACAACTCTCCGACCTATTCCCTGTCCCACTTGCCTTGCCAGAATTGGTTGTTCAGTGAGGGAGGCTAACCTATTGCCCTCCTTTTTCTCAGGGTAACTCAGGTCTGGGCTTCAGCATCGCAGGTGGCACTGACAACCCACACATCGGTGACGATCCATCCATTTTCATCACCAAGATTATTCCTGGAGGGGCTGCAGCCCAGGATGGTCGCCTCAGGTGGGGAGGGGAGACAGGGGTTAGGAAGCTAGTATGCTTGAAAATGAGGGCCAGGGCAGCAGGAAGCTCCTGGCTCAGGCCCACCTTGCTGCTCCCAGGGTCAACGATAGCATCCTGTTTGTAAATGAAGTGGATGTGCGGGAGGTGACCCACTCAGCAGCGGTGGAGGCTCTCAAAGAGGCAGGCTCAATCGTGCGCCTCTACGTCATGCGCCGGAAGCCCCCAGCTGAGAAGGTCATGGAGATCAAGCTCATCAAGGGGCCTAAAGGTAGTAACCAGTTTTGTCCCCACTCCTGTCCTAAATGTCCTCCCTTCYCCCCCAAAAAAGGCCTGCTTCCCAGGTACCTGAGCACCCACCTGTGCCATTCCTTGCATCCAGGTCTTGGTTTCAGCATCGCAGGGGGCGTAGGGAACCAGCACATCCCTGGGGATAATAGCATCTATGTAACCAAGATCATCGAAGGCGGTGCTGCCCACAAGGATGGGAGGTTGCAGATTGGAGACAAGATCTTGGCGGTGAGGACCTCCACTTTTCTAGCTCAGACCTGAGTCTCACCTGTAGACCCTAGACAGGCTCAGGATTCTTATTACCTCACCCCACTACATCTGCCTTGTTGCCATTTCTGGCTCTGTCTGAGCTTTGCTTCCCTTGACCCCAGGTCAACAGTGTGGGGCTGGAAGACGTCATGCATGAGGATGCCGTGGCAGCCCTGAAGAATACGTATGATGTTGTCTACCTAAAGGTGGCCAAGCCCAGCAATGCCTACCTGAGTGACAGCTATGCTCCCCCAGACATCACAACCTGTGAGAGCCCTCCAAATTCAAAAGCTCCTCATGACCCATTCTAGTTATCCCCATGACATATAATTCTAGGATATTCCCTGTGACCATTCCTCTGCAGATWATCCCCATAAAATGGTCACAACCTCTGATCCTTGCTCTGGTTGGAGAAGTGATAGAAAATGAGTCACCATAGAAGCACTAGAAAAGATGAACAATCTTGCCCTCCAGAGCTTAAGGCCCGCTTGGTTTTATGCCTAATTTGGTCAAATTCTCAAGAAATAGATTCTAGCTGGATATGGGGGTGCATGATGTAATCCCAGCGGTTTGGGAGGATGAAACAGGAGGATTGCAAGTTTGAGGCCAGCCTCAGGAATTTAGCAAGGCCCTCARGCAAGTGAGACCCTGTCTCAAAACACAAAAAACAAAAAGGGCTGGGATTGTAGCTCAGTGCTGAGCGCCCCTGGGTTAAATCTCCTGTAGTAATTAAAAAAAAAAAAAAGAAAGAAAGAAATAGATGACTTTTAAAAAAAATATATTTATTTTTTAGTTGTAGTTGTCAATACCTTTATTTTATTTATTTATTTTTATGTGGTGCTGAAGATTGAACCCAGGGCCTCACACATGCTAGTCAAGCGCTGTACCGCTAAGCCACAACCCCAGCCCCAATAGATGATTCTTATGCTCTTTCAGAGTAGGAAAAGATAAAAGGCTTCACATCTCATTTTATAAGGCCAGTTTAAATAGTCACAAAGATAACCTAAAAGAAGGAAAGTAAAGAATAATTTTACTTTTGAACAGAGATGCAGAAATTTTTAGTGTCATAGTAGGAACCCCAATATGGCTAGCATATTAAGAGAATAATATTTTTTAAAAAGATTGTTTCAGAAAACTAAAAGTGGTATATTATTTGAAAATTTCTTACTATGATTCATTATATCAAAAATCAAGTGAGAAGCTGGGTTTGCTGGTGCATGCTTGTAATTCCAGCAACTTGGGAAGCTGAGGCAGGAGGATCAGAAGTTTGAGGCTAGTCTCGACAATTTAGCAAGACCCTCAGCAACTTAGTGAGACCCTATGTCAAAATAAAAATTAATAAATGAATAAACAGGACTGGGCAGATAGCTCAGTAGTAAAGTGCCCCTGGGTTTAATCCCCTGTCCAAAAAAAAAAAAAAAAAAGTGAGAAAAAAATTATAGAATCATCTTAAATAGATAGAAAGCCAGTTGATGAAATTTAACATCTATTTTGGGGTGATAACTTTCAATAAATTAAGAGCAGAGACGTTTTCCTTAATGTGATGAAGAGTAGTTACTAGCAACCAGCAATGAACATTTTGCAGTATGTCCTTTTTCTCATTGAGGAGTGAAATAGTGATGCCTCTTACTACTGATACTGTTACTGTTTTAGACAAAGTTTCTCTCTCTCTTTTTTTTTTTTTTTTTTTTTTGCAGTACTAGAAACTGAACCTAGCGGGTGCTCTACCACTGAGCTACATCCCTAGTACTTTTTATTTTTTTGAGAAAGTTTCTTGCTAAAGTGCCCAGGCTGACCCTGTACTAGTGATCCTCCTGCTTTAGTCCCCTGAGTTGCTGGGATTGCACTGTACCCAGCTTAGACTGGGATTTCTTTCTTTTTTTTTTAAACAGCGGGGAATTAAATGTTAGATGTCTTTATTTTATTTCTATCAGGCGCTGAGGATTGAACCCAGTGCCTCGCAGGTGCTAGGCAAACGCTTTGCCACTGCAAATGCTTTGCCACTGAGCTACAGTCCCAGCCCTAGACCAAGTTTCTTTCTTTCTTTCTCTTTTTTTTTTTGGCCGTGCTGGGAATTGAACCCAGGGCCTGTGAATGCAAGGCAAATACTCTATCAACTGAACTATATCACCAGCCCTAGACCAGGTTTCTTCATGTTGGTGCTGTTGACATCTTTGGGTCCAATGACTCTTTGTTGTTCTTGTAATTTCCAGGATTTTTTATTTTTGGTGGTGCTAGGGGTTGAACCCAGGTCCTTGCACATGCTAGGCAAATGCTCTATTAAGCTTGTTCCCTAGCCTCTGTAGAATTTTTTTTTTATTGGTTGTTCAAAACATTACAATGCTCTTGACATATCATATTTCATACATTTGATTCAAGTGGGTTATGAACTCCCATTTTTACCATGTATACAGATTGCAGATTCACATTGGTTATACATCCATGTTTATACATACTGCCATACTAGTGTCTGTTGTATTTTGCTGCCTTTCCTATCCCCTTCCTATCCCCCCTTTCCTCTCCTCTCTAGATTTTTTTTTTTTTAATTGGGCTCTTTTTACCTATTACATCTTCTCATTGCTATGATTTCTTATTACTTATTTTCCAGGGCCACATTTTTATTTAGATATTTATTTTTTTAGTTGTAGTTGGACACAATATCTTTATTCTATTTATTTATTTTTATGTGGTGCTAAGGATTGAACCCAGGGACTCGTACATGCTAGGCGAGTGCTATACCGCTGAACAACAACCCTAGCCCAGCATTCTTAACCTTCCATTTTATTTCTAAGTTTTTCAGTTAATTTGTTTTGTGTTTCAGTCTAAATGGTCCACAATATAATTAACAAATAAGATTAATTTTGTTTCTTTCTTTTTAAATCTAACATCTGTTTATTATTATTTTGGTCAAAAGCAATAATTTTCAACCAGGGTAATTTTGCTGGGGTAATTTTGTCATAACATTTTTTATTGTTATTACCAAAGGGAAGAAGGTGGGAGGAAGAATACTGTTATCTGATAGAAATATAAACTTGACAAGAAGTGTGAGAGTTACATGAAAAAAAAATTTACTGAAGGGTACAAAACAACGATTCTGGATGGAAAACCTTAATAAGTAGAAGATCTCAATCCTTTCCAAATTAATCTGTACATTTCATGCAATCCTAATCAGAATTTTAATATTGGTTTTCCCCTGGGAATGTAGCAGATTGATCCTAAAGTTCAGTTGGAAAAGTATGTGTGGGAGAAGAGCTAAGACATTTTAGAAAAGAATAATGAGGTGTGGCTGCCCCTACCTAATATGAAATCATACTTAAACCCACATTAAAACCACGTGGTACTATTTCTGGATACCATAATCTATGTAAAGGAACCTGGGCTCCTTGGAAAAATGACTGATTCCAAACTTTGGCAAGGAATATATGAGACAAACTTCAACATCTTTCATATTAGAAAGGAAGGAAGGTATCTAAGGCTACTAGGGTCACATTAAAGACACAGAGCCATGTTGAAGAGGCTCCTGGCCATTCATTGAAAACTCATTCAATAGGTGAAAGTCCATGAGGTCATAGTTATATTTAAAAATATTGAGGCTGGACATTGTGGTGTAATCCTGTAATCCCAGCCACTTGGGAGACTTGAGGCAGGAGGACCTTGAGTTCAAAGCCAGCCTCAGCAATTTAGTGAGGTCCTGAGGAATTCTGTGAGACCCTGTCTCAAAATAAAATATAAAAAGGTTTGGGGATGTGGTTCAGTGGTTAAGTGCCTCTGGATTCAATCCCCAGTACCAAAATAAAAAAAAATTAATAATTGGGAAGCCAGTCTTGGTGATAAGTGCCCAGAGTCCAGCTAGCTACCTGGGTGATGAAGCAGGAGGATTGCTCGAGCCCAGCCTAAACAACCTTCCAAGACCCTGTCTCAAAAACAAAAACAAGGGCTGGGGTTACAGCTCAGTGGTAGAGTGCWWGCCTAGCACATGTGAGACACTGGGTGTGATCTTTTTTTWAAAAAAATAAAGGTATTGTGTTCATCTATAATGAAAAGATTAAACAAAAATAAGAAACAAATTATGATTAAATTAATTTTAGGCTGGAGGATATGGTTCAGTGGTAGAGCACTTGCCTAGCATGCACARGGTCCGAGGTTTAATCCCTAGGATTGAAAAAAAAATGGGTCTCTTTGGAAGAGGCTAGGAAACCCATTTACTGAAAACTGGTAAAGAGCTGAGCATCCATCATTCCTGTACAAACTATACCTTAGATTAACTAAAAGGTTGATATGAGACAGTTCTTTATAGAAAATTTGATTAATGTTGTCCCATCTGAAAAAGAAACACACACCAGAAAAAAAAAAAAAAACAGAATTGTTATCATTTGATGGTTCCAGATGAATATCCAAACTAGGCAGTGATCATCATCAGTGGCTGTGAAAGCTTGGATGAGAGGCTGACGGGTGGACAAGGCTGAATACTTCCAAAAGACAACAAGACATCATTGCAGCCTTTTGTGACACAGTAGGAGTGCACAGCGCCACCTGTGAAGTCTGCTTACTCACRTATTGAATTTGAATCTGATGAAGCCTCTAGAATAAAGTCTCCAGGTTACAGGAGATATAGGAGTAGAGGCATAGGTTAAATAAGACCACAGGTATTATGCAGGAATTTTCCCTGTTAGAATTTCCCTCATAAAACCTAGGATAATGTTTTAGATAAATGACCTAGTTTTTCAACAGATGAATGGCCAAACAGGAGGGGACCAAAATAAAAAAAGGAATTTTTATGGATTAAGAGATTTGAGAAAAATATCAACCAAAAAGAAAGAAAACCCCAAAAGCATGGTATTAATATTGTCGTTTGACATCACCATCCCTGGCATATCAAGGACAACACATAATTTTAAAGTCCTTTATCCCCTAAGAGAACCAATCTCTGATGCTATAAATTCCTGACCTCTGACATTGCTGGATCTGATGTCCTCTTTACCACATCACCAAATATCTTTGGCAGAATAACTTCCTTTTTGTCTGAGTCTGGCTCTCTTGGTTCCCGCTGGAGAGGGTGGGCTGGTGGGTGCCGATGGGTATCCTCCTTATGTTTCATCTCATTCTTTCTATGTCTTCCCTCAGCTTATTCCCAGCACCTGGACAATGAGATCAGTCATAGCAGCTACCTGGGCACTGACTACCCCACAGCCATGACCCCCACTTCCCCTCGGCGCTACTCTCCAGTGGCCAAGGACCTGCTTGGGGAGGAAGACATTCCCCGAGAACCGAGGCGAATCGTGATCCAYCGGGGCTCCACGGGCCTGGGCTTCAACATTGTGGGTGGTGAGGACGGCGAAGGCATCTTCATCTCCTTCATCTTGGCCGGGGGCCCTGCGGACCTCAGCGGGGAGCTGCGGAAGGGGGACCAGATCCTGTCGGTGAGGGAAGGCCTGCCCTTGCCAGCCTGCCCACCCTGTCCCCCCAGCAGAGCCCAGAGCTCTTGGGAAGGAGCTGGGTGGGCCGAAGCCTGGTCCCCTGCTGGACTATTCCCTGCGCCACTTAAACATGAGAAGTGCCAAGCTACTCAGCCTCTGTTCCTCTCTCTAGGTTAATGGTGTTGACCTCCGAAATGCCAGCCATGAGCAGGCTGCCATTGCCCTCAAGAATGCGGGTCAGACGGTCACAATCATTGCTCAATATAAACCAGAAGGTACCAGGCTTAAGGCACCCATCTTGTGGGCTCAGAATTTGTTTCGTCAACTGATGGATTCAGCAGAGATGAGGATGGGGTGGGGCAGAGAGGTTTTGGTAATAGAATGGAGCACAGTTCAAGAACTTTCTTGTGCTTCTTCAGAGTACAGCCGATTCGAGGCCAAGATCCACGACCTTCGGGAACAGCTCATGAACAGCAGCCTGGGCTCAGGGACTGCCTCCCTTCGGAGCAACCCCAAAAGGGGTTTCTATATCAGGTCAGAGGCTTGCTGGGCTGAGCTTTCTGAGTTTCTGTGGATTCCTCTTTCTTTTGTGCCCATTCCCTATTCCTTAGCCAGCTCTTGCCCTAAACCCTGCCTGATCCACACCCCGCCTGCCCGCCCCACACCCAGGCTTATTGCTCAGCCACTGTTCACAGGCTCAGTGACACAGATTAATCTTCTGAAATACACCATCTGAATTGGAAAATAACTTCTACCCCAAGTGTTCCACTTGCCTTCTAGCCCCAGGGCACCATGACCTCTCCCCAAGGAGTCTCATACTGCCTCACAATTGGGCATTTAAAAGGTAAACACAGGGCTTTTAGGATTTCTTTATATTTATTTATTTAGATATTGGAGATTGAGTCCAATGGAGCTTTACTACTGATCTGCATCCCCAGGCCTTTTTATTTTGTAATTTGAGAAATGGCCTTGTCATTGCTGAATCTGTCCTCAAACTTGTGATCTTCTGCCTCAGCCTCCCAAGTTGCTGGGATTACAGGCATCTACCAGCTTTTTACTTTTAAATGGGGGTCTTGCTATATTGCCCAGGTTGGTCTTGAACTCCTGAGCTTGAATGATCCTCCTGCCTCAGCCTCCTGAATAGCTGGAACTTTATGCATATGTCACTGTCCTCAACTTTAGGATATATACAAATATATATTTTTTGTGGTGCTGGGGATTGAACCCAGGGCCTTGTTCATGCAAGGCAAGCTTTCTACCAACTATATCCTCAGGTATATCCCCAGCCCTAGGATATTTTTAATATTGTTTCAGTCTTGGCATCCCTGTGGGAATTCTCAGAGAGATGGACCACAGCTCTCTTGCACCTGTCTCCTGTCTCTTCAGAAGCATTTATTCCCTTAGGACTCCTCTCCCTATTAACTCTCTTTTGTGCTCTTCCCCAGTGTGGGCACTGTGGCTTAAGTTTCTGTTGCACTTCCCTTTTCTCTCTGTCTCTCTGTCTCTCTCTCTCTCTCTGGTCCTGTTCACTTGCCTAGCCTCATCTGCCACTCCAGTCTGCACATGTGTCTTAGAGCCGTCGGCCCTGGCCTGACCTCTCAGGTGCAGACCTGCTTTTCTGGCCATCTGCTTGCTTTTCCTTCTTCCCTCTCCTTCTCCCTCCCTTCTTTCCTTCCTGGGCATGCCACAGGGTTGAAGCCTGGGCACTTTACTATTGAGCTACATCACCAGTTCTTTTTTTTTTTTTTTTTTTTTTTGGTACCAGGGATTGAACTCAGGGGCATTTGGCCATTGAGCTGCATCCCCAGCCTTATTTTGTATTTTATTTAGAGACAGGGTCTCACTGAGCTGCTTAGTGTCTCACTGTTGCTGAGGCTGGGTTTGAACTTGCAATCCTCCTGTCTCAGCCTCCCAAGCTGCTGGGGTTACAGGCTTGTGCCACCGTGCCCGGCTCACCAGTTCTTTTTATTTTTTTGTTGAGACAGGTAAGTTGATTAGGGCTTCACTAAATTGCCGAGGCTGCCCTTGAAATTGGCATTCCTCCTGCCTCAGCTTCCTGGTTATTGGGATTGGCCATCTGCTTTCTAGCCATCTCTGCTAAGATGTCTTATCGGCATGTCACACTCAACACATCCCGCACTCAGCTCATGTTCTCTATCCTGGGTGCTTTTGTTTTYTCTCACCATCCACTTAGACACCTGGCTCATACCTGAGGTTCCACTTGGTTCTCCTTCCTTCCTGGGGTCCAGTAGGGTTATTCAGTTCTGACTTCCAGATGATGTCAGCAATTCCAGACTCTCTCCCTATATTCCCAGTCCCATTGCTTTATTCTGCATCTTTTCTTTCTTGGAGAATCAATAGTTTTCTTGTCCTAACCCTAGTACTAACCCTAGTACTTTTGACTCCCTGACAGGAGTTTGATGCTGATAAGGGATAAGAGTAACTAATGTTTGCCAGTGAGGGACTTTTTTTTTTTTTTTCTCCTTATGAATTTGAGCAGATTCAAGGGAACTCTGTGGCATGCAGGCATATTGAAAACTTCTGTCTGGAGTTCTTGCTCTCATCCTGGAAATTGGACACATCATACATGTAATGGCAATTATATGTTACAGCAGAGCTTTTGGTTCTTTCCTAGTTTTGGGGTTCCTGTGGGCATGCCACTAACAACCCAAGCTTTGCTGCAAATTCCTAGCCCAGAACCTCTAGGCTGGTTCTTGGTGTGGCTGGAGTACTAGCCATGCCCTGACCCATAGCCATTTGTCCTCTAGGGCCTTGTTTGATTACGACAAGACCAAGGACTGCGGCTTCCTGAGCCAGGCCCTGAGCTTCCGCTTTGGGGATGTGCTGCATGTAATTGATGCTAGCGATGAGGAGTGGTGGCAGGCACGGCGAGTCCACTCTGACAGTGAGACGGATGACATTGGCTTCATCCCCAGCAAACGACGGTGAGGCTCCTGGGACCTGCAGACTTCCTGCTCCAGGCACTGAAATTCCCAAGGTTCTCCAGGGTGGGCAGCCAAAAGGGGGTTCTCTGGAGTCTGTCTGGTGGGCCCTTCTCATGACTATTGCTTCTATGAGCCTTTGGGGCAGACAGCTCCTCACTGAGGATCACAGGGTCCAGAGTGTGGGAGCTTTTAGGCCTCACTAGGCACTTTTCCACCCTCCATATCTCCATGTATCCCACAGGGTTGAGCGACGGGAGTGGTCAAGGTTAAAGGCCAAGGTAGGTGGAGGAGGGGTGAGTTTGGTGCAAGAGTGGGGTCCTCACAGAGCCGAACCCTTAACCAACCCATGGCTTGCTTTTTCTTCCTAGGACTGGGGCTCCAGCTCTGGATCACAGGGTAGGTAGGGCCAGTTGGGAAGCCCTGGGGTGAGAGGAACACCAAAGAAGGCAGGGGGCCCCAGGTCCCTTGTCTTGGAGCCCCTTGAAGACGCTCTGTCTCCCACCAGGTCGAGAAGACTCGGTTCTGAGCTACGAGACAGTGACGCAGATGGAAGGTGAGCCCTGGCCCCTGCCTCAGCCCCAGCCCTCCTGCTCCCCTGGTCTGTTCGCTGCCTGAGCCCGGCTCCTCTCCTCAGTTCACTACGCTCGCCCCATCATCATCCTTGGGCCCACCAAGGACCGTGCCAATGACGATCTTCTCTCCGAGTTCCCCGACAAGTTTGGATCCTGTGTTCCCCGTGAGTGCTGGGGCCTTGGATGGAGGTGGAGGTGAAGGTGAGGGTGGAGGAGTGGGATGCCTGAGGAGCCCCACTTGTGAGGGCCGTAGGCAAAACTGCCAGCAGGCATTGGAGTGCAGGGGTCACAGGATTCCTCAAAGAAGGGGTCTTCTCAGCTCCCCTTATGTTATACAGGAGTCAACCCCAGGCCAGAAAATGGGAGACCCTGGCGGGTGTGGGGGGAGTGGTTCTGCCCCTCTTGAGTTTTAGTCTCCACAGTGGCCTCCTATCAAGGATGAGTTGGGCACTTTGGGTGTTTGGTTGGTGAGGCAGATTTTAAGCTAGAGGGATGGTGGTTAGATCTTTGGGGGGGTGGGGTGACTTCCTGGCAGATACTACACGGCCCAAGCGGGAGTATGAGATAGATGGCCGGGATTACCACTTTGTATCGTCCCGGGAGAAAATGGAGAAGGACATTCAGGCGCACAAGTTCATTGAGGCTGGCCAGTACAACAGCCATCTCTACGGGACCAGCGTCCAGTCCGTGCGAGAGGTGGCAGAGCAGGTAGGACCCACTGGGCACCTGGTCCTCTTCCTTCTGCCCTCTCCCTACCCCATTGCCTCTTCCAACTCTCTCTAACTCTCTTTCTCTCTGTCTCTTTCCCTGCTGGGTCTCCACTCCGTCCTCCACCTCCTTCTCCTCTTGGGCAACTCTGTCTGGCTGCCTGCTCTTTTGTGCCCTGCTGCCCTCGCTTCCTGACCCCACACTCCCCACTGCCATCTGTCCCTTTCCTCTGCTCCCCTCCTCCTCGCCCCACTTCTCCTCTCTTTCTGTGGCTGTACCTTGGCCTCCTCCAACTTGGTCCCTTCCTTCTTCCTGATTCCTCCTGGCCCTCTCCCCTCTCCTTCCTTTTCCTGGGGTCCCCACGCCCCTCTCCATTCCTCTGCTAACTCCTTTTACTGATGCTTGCCACCCTGCCTGCCCTCCCTCCATGGCTCCTTGCTCCATCTGCCTTCCTTCCCTCCATCTGTCTCTCCTTGTCCCTTCCATCTGTCTGTCCTCTGTCTGTCCTCCTCTCCCTCCTCCTTCTATCCTACTTCCTTTCTCCTTTTCCCTTGCTTTATTTCCCTTGCCCTGTCCTACCTTCCGTGCCCCACCCCCTTCTCCATTGCCCCTCTTGACCCTGCTCTGCCTCCGTCTTCTGGATCCCCTTCCTGCCTGGTTTTATCGCATCCTCCATCCTGTTCTTTCGCTGCCCTCCTGTGCTTGGCTCTCTGTCTTCTCTTTCCTTTTTTTTCTCTTGTCTTTCACTCTGTCTGTCCATATCCCCTTCCCATCCTGACTCTATCCATGTGTCTTTTGACATTCATGTCACTTCCCCTTTGGCCATCCTCTTGTCCCCTCTTTTCCATGTTCTGTGTCCCTTCTTGGCACCTCTGTCTGTCCTTTCCCACCACCTGCTGGTCCCCCTCCGCCTACCCTGCCTGCCCCCAGGGGAAGCACTGCATCCTCGATGTCTCAGCCAATGCTGTGCGGCGGCTGCAGGCGGCCCACCTGCACCCTATCGCCATCTTCATCCGCCCCCGCTCCCTGGAGAATGTGCTGTGAGTATGGTCCTGGGGGCCTCCCCTCTGCTCCCCGCACTTGTGGTCCTGGGCCTCTCAAGGCCTCTGTGTTGAACTCTCCCCTCAGAACTCTGGACAGCAACTCCAGCAGCCCTCAGTGGGGATCTGCATGGAGAGCTGAAACCCAGAGATTGCAAGGAATCCCAGGCTTTTCCTCTTTTTTCCTACCTTGAGTTAAGCAGGCTACAATTCCCAGCAGTTCCTGGGACACATGCCTGCTGGGGCAAGCCAGGGCCTCAGGAGCAGTTGGGAGTTAGAGTCTAACTCCTTCTCTGGGGCTGAAGACTGGAAGGATAAACTCTAGAGAGGTCCTGGAAATACCCACACCTGGCTGGGGTGGGTTGTGGGTGGGGGCTCATCTGTGACCCCAGAGGATATCAGGAATTATATTTTTTGCTACTTGCTTTCAATAAGAAAGTACCCGATGTAGCCTAACATCCCTGGATGGAGGAGGTAAAGTTCTGGGTCTTTCTTTCTTCACAGAGAAATTAACAAGCGGATCACAGAGGAGCAAGCCCGCAAAGCCTTTGACAGAGCCACCAAGCTGGAGCAGGAGTTCACAGAGTGCTTCTCAGGTGAGGCTGCAGTGGTGACACACACAGGGCACTTTTGCTCAGATTTGACACAGTTCACCCCACTGCAGGGATGGCTCTGGAAGAGGTGTCCCATGGGTGGGTGCAGCCTCATGGCTCATGGCTGGGGGAATTAGGAAAAGGTACCCATTTCTCTGGGCTATATCCTGCCTTGGTCAGGCATCCTCTGTCCCTTGGCCTCACTCCCTGTTCCACCCACTCCCAGCCATCGTGGAGGGTGACAGCTTTGAGGAGATCTACCACAAGGTGAAGCGTGTCATCGAGGACCTCTCAGGCCCCTACATCTGGGTCCCAGCCCGAGAGAGACTCTGATTCCTGCCCTGGCTTGGCCTGGACTCGCCCTGCCTCCATCATCCGGGCCCTTGGTCTGGACTGAATTGCCCACGTCCTTCGCACCCCAGCCTCCCTCTGACCCCTTCTTATTTATTTCCTTTCTAACTGGATCCAGCTCATTGGAGGGGGGACACTCCTCTGCATGTATCCCTACACCCCAGAACTGGGCTCCAGAATCCTAGGAACCTGGGGTCTGGGCGGGGAGCCGGGCTCCTGGTTCCAAGCCCTTGCTCCTCAGGATCCCTACCCTTACCTGCCCCCAATGCACACACAGACCCACTGGGGGCTGCCCGCCCTCCCCCATACATTCCAGAAGTCAGGGCCCCTCTCAAGGAGCACCTGCTGTAGGGATGCAGGGCCACAGGCCTCCGCGCTCTCTGGAGGCAGGGTCTGGGGTCACCCTTGCTCCATCATAACTCCCCATGTCCCTTGATTTCTCAATTTTTTTTTTTCATTTTTTTCTCCTAAAAGGTGGTTTTTGGGGGAGAAGTAGTGGGACTCTTCTGCAGGTCCCCTGCCTTCCACATGCCCCCACCTTTTTTCTTTGCTGGTTTGCATGAGTGGAAGGTCTAACTGTGGCTTTTTTTTTTTTTTCCTGGGATTTTTCTTCTTCTTCTTTGTTTCTTTTTTTCTTTTTCTTTTTTCCTTTTTTCTTCTTTTTTTTTTTTGGGGGGAAAGGGGAGGGATGGGTCTAGGGAGTGGGAAATATGGGAGGGAGGGTGGGGGGCAGGGGTTAGGGGTTGGGTGTCTGGGAGCCAGGGGAAGACTGGAAATGCTGCCGCCTTCTGCAATTTATTTATTTTTTCTTTTGAGAGAGTGAAAGGAAGAGACAGATACTTGAAACTCAGTGTGTGGCCTGGTTATTTGGGTCCTGGGTGTGGAGGGAGACAGGGTGGGGGCCCAGGGATGGGTGGGTCTGGTAAATTCAGATCCTTCTTCATCCCAACCCAGAGAGAATAGGGTGGCCTGAGATAGGGGCTTTGGAGGGAAGCAGCAAATCAAGTTGTTGAGGAATGGGCTTGGGGAGGGCTGGAGCTCTGTCCAAAGTCACTGATAGTCAGGAAGACTTGCCTGCAAAGTACAGAAGCTTCTTGGTTTATGATGGGTTCATATTCCAATAGATCCATCATAAGTTGGAAATATCCTAAGTAAAAAATGCATTTAGGCTGGGCGTGGTGGTGTACGCCTGTAATGCCAATGGCTTGGGAGGCTGCGGCAGGAGGATCGCAAGTTCAAAGCCAGCCACAGCAACTTAGTGAGTCCCCAAGCAACTCAGTGAGACCCTGTCTCTAAAAAAAATATAAAATAGGGCTGGGGACATGGTTCAGTGGTTAAGCACCCCTGGGTTCAATTCCTGGTTTAAAAAAACAAAATGCATTTAGTACACCTGACTTACTGAACATCATATCTTAGACTTGCCTACCTTAAATGTTCTCAGAACACTTACGTTAACCCATAGCTGGGCAGAATCATCTAACACAAAACCTACCGTAAAATACAGAATAAACATCTTGTGCCTGATGGGCAGCTGCAGCATACTGTAACAGCATATTGCTAATCCATGAAAAGGTCAAAATTTGAAGTACAGTTTCTACTGAATGTGTATTGCCTTCGTATCATCGTCAAGTTGAAAAACCATGGGCTGAGCCATCATATGTAAGTTGAGGTCTGTATAAAGGAAACTTTTATGTTCATGAAGTTTTAGACAGCTGGGCTCTAGAGATAACATTTATAGAGGTTTGCTGATAAGGAATGCCATATGAATATTTATTCATTTGGTTTCTTTATGCCTCATTTCTTTTTTTTTTTAAAGAGAGAGTGAGAGAGGAGAGAGAGAGAGAATTTTTAATATTTATTTTTTAGTTCTCGGCGGACACAACATCTTTGTTGGTATGTGGTGCTGAGGATCGAACCCGGGCCGCACGCATGCCAGGCGAGCGCGCTACCGCTTGAGCCACATCCCCAGCCCTATGCCTCATTTCTATAGAAAAAACATTTGAAGCAGCTTTGCAAATAGTGAGGGTAGGAAAATAGAAACTGGATCCTAAAGATATAAACAGGAGAAATGGATGAGCTATGAGGGTAAATATTATCTCAGCTTCCTGGTAGCCAGGACAAAATGGGAAATGGCTCATTGCCTAGTTCCTTATAATAAAAGGTAAGTCATTTTAGGTTTTATTTTAGGAAGTCAGATTTTCCTGGCCCTAAGTCCTAAACAAAGSTGCTTGGATTGCTGCTTTATAGAAAAGTAGTTCTCAACCTTTCTTTTGCCCCTGCTCATGTGCTTGGCAAGCTCTCAACTGAGGTGTGACATAGATAAGGTGTTGCTGGCACYAGTTATGATTCTGTCCCCTCTGATTCTCAGGGGCCTCAGTTGGGAAGGCTGAGGTGGAAGGCCCTAAGTGTTGTGGTGTCTAAGTCCTGAACAGTTGCAGAAGAGGTTTTTGTAGGCACCCCTGGGCAAAGCTGAGAGGGATGCAAAATCCTGACCCTGGGGAGGCCCAAGCCTAAACCAGTCCAAGGATCAAGGTGTTGCTTACACCAATGATCCTCTGTGGATCACCCTGAAAAAATACCTGTGTAGCACCCTATTCTATAGGACCCAACCTTTTGAATTGTGGTGGGGGGGATCCAGGTGTGTACATTTCAGGAAACCACTCAGGTGATTCTGATGTTTTGCTGTGGGGACAAGCACTGCTACTAGAAGACATTTTACGAATAATCCTCTTAACTTGATTCTGCATAAGAGCAGATGGCATGAGTCTGTGCTGTTCTCTACCATGGGCTAAAGGGAGAAATCTGGGAGCTGAGGAAAGTGTGTGCAGGCAGTGGGTCCAGATCTAAGGAGTTTACCTAGAAGGGGTAAAAATCACATAATCCTGCATTATGATAATGATGATAAGGACTGACTCTCCGATGCTAGGTAAGTACTCTCCCACTGAACTACATACATCTCCAGCTATTTTTAATTTTTGAGACAGGGTCTCACTAAGTTGCTCAGGTTGGCCTCAAAAGTTTTGATCCTCCTGTCTCAACCTCCAAAGTATGTGGGATTTTCATGCATTAGTTTGAAGTATAAAAGCAATACATGTACCTGACAAGTATTCAAATATAGAGATACATATGGTTGGAAAAAGTCCTCATTTTAATCCACCATGGTAACAGTTTTGGATGTAGTATTCCAAATCTATAGAGAACTCTTCCCTGGTCCCTTGAAGGAGGCAGGATACTTTAGTGAATAAGAGTACTGGGCTCTCAAGMTGATTAGGGTTCAAATCCTGGCTCCTCTTTCCCCCATGCACTTTAAGTCTTTCAACAAACACTTGGATCTTCCTTGGTACCAGCCAGTATTCAAAATGCTGAGAGGGCAACATTGGTTTTCAGGGAATTTGGGGTCTACCCAGTGGGAATAACAGATAATTTGAAATTCAATCAATGTTATTAAGCAAATAAAGTAACCACTGAACATGTGTCCTTGCTAGTTTATGCAGGGTGGCCAGGAAGTCCTCTTCTTGGAGAAAAACATTTGAGTTGACTTGAATGTTGACATAGACTGGGATGAGGGGACTGTGCCAAGTAGAGCAACGACAAGGTAGGGGTAAGTTTAGAAGGTGGGAGGACAGGAGGGCATTGGGGTGGAGAGAATTAGATGGGTTAGGCCTGACACACAGGCCTTTGCATGAATTTTATTTCAAGTGCCATAAAAAGCTGCCAGAGGGCTGTGAGAAGGCGGTTTCAGGGTTTTTATTTCTGCAAGATGGCCCTGGGAGCTGGTGGAGAATATATAGCAGGGGACAATAGAGAGCCAGGGAGGTTGCTGCTGAGGTTAAGATAGGGGACGATGGTGGCACCACTGTCACTTGGGGCAAGGGGCGCCTCCTCTCAGCCTGTTTCCCTAGCTGTAAAATGAAATTGGCCTGCCTTGCTGAATTCTTGTGAGAAAGGTGACAATACTTGTAAGCGCTTAGTCTAGTGCCTGGCAACGGTAGGGAATGGTAACAATGGTTGTTATTGGCCTCTCGGTCTGTTTTCAGTGATTGGATGAACCTGGAAGTTAAATAAAACCTGGGATAATTTGGAGTACTAAAATTTACTTGCCGGGTGTGGTGGTGCATGCCTGTAATCCCAGTGGCTTGGGAGGCTGAGATAGGAGGATCAAGGGTTCAAAGCCAGCCTCAGCAATAGTGAGGCACTAAGCAACTCAGTGAGACCCTGTCTCTAAATAAAATACAAAATAGGGCTGGGGATGTGGCTCAGTGATTGAGGTCCCTGAGTTCAATCCCCAGTACCCCCTTCCCTAATTTCTTAAATTATCACCCTTTAAAAGTAGGAAAGAAGTCTGGGAGCAGTGACACATGCCTGTGAATCTCAGCTGAGGCAGGAGGATTGCCAGTTTGAAGCCAGCCTGGGCAATTTAGAAGACCCTGTCTCAAAAAATTAAAATGAGGGGCTGGGGATGTGGCTCAAGYGGTAGCGCGCTCGCCTGGCATGCATGCGGCCCGGGTTTGATCCTCAGCACCACATACAAACAAAGATGTTGTGTCCGCCAATAACTAAAAAATAAATATTAAAAAATAAATAAAAATGAGGATGTATCCCAGTAGTATATCACTCCTGAGTTCAATCCGCGGTACCAAAACAAATGAAAATAGAAAAGGGACATAGAGAGGGTCCTGGTCTCACAGAATTCCAGCTGTCCCAAGACTGGAAAGTTGGCGTGTGCCTGGGACAGAGAGAGTAGAGTTGGGAAAATGAGAGCCAGGATGGAGAAAGACCCTGCCAGAATCAAGAGTTCACACCTGGCCCACAGGCAAGGTCCCTGTCCACTACAGAGCTGGGATGTTCAAGCTCATTGAAAGGGGTGGTCGTGTCAGTTCAGATTTTACACATCTGTGCAGAGGACCACCTCCTCCATCCAACCCCATCAGTCACCACTCCCTTGCCTCTACCTATGTGCTGAGCCCGACTGCCTGGGTGCCTCTCTCTTAACCTCTCCTGCTTTTTCTCAGCCTGAGCTCTTCCCAAGCTTTCCTAGCTATGGGGACCTATAGGCCAACCTTTTTGGCAAGTCAGCATTGAGCCACCTCTTCTTGAGATCTCGTAGTGCTACATTGTCTGTTGGCCAGTGGTGCCAAGGAGCTTGAGGTATCACCTCACCTTCATGGTCTGGGGCAAGATCAAGGTTGGTCGGTCCCCGCACAACGTTGCAAGTGTTCTGAGAGGAGTAGGCAAGGGCCGAGGTAGCTCAGAATCCAGGATTGTCCCAGTGAAATAGCTAATCATTCTCTGGGGTATGAAGAGAGGTTTCCTCTGCCATCCTGATCCCCAAGCCCCTTTCCTGTACACACAAAGAGGCCCCAGAGGTTCAACTCAACTCTTGGCCATGCTGTTAGAAGAGAATAAATAAATAAATAAATAAAACAACCACCATGTGCTGAGCACTTAGTACGTGCAGGTGCTGTGCCAAGTGCTCTTTATCATTTTATTTAACCTTGACATTTATTCTCCCAGATGGGCATTACACCTACACTTTCCAGGTGAGAGCAAGGTGAGCCCAGAACTGTCTAATAATGAGCTTTGCCCACTTA